TTCTTAAAGCTGGGAAAACTACAGAGAATTCAAAACTATCTGCAGATGTTCTAATATCAAATATCATGACAACACATTCACAGATTTTGAGTATTCAGTTCCACCTTGAAATACGCATCCATAGCACTTAAAGAGAAGGTTGAGTTCTGGGGAGAGGTGAACAATAATTTGTGAGCGTTTTTATTGGTATTATGCAAGTATGGAAGAACATCAGAGTGAAAATGTGAAAAGCATAGCTCTCAATGCCTTCATATTCTAAATATGACATGTGACAGCTTATAAATGTGGGCCTCATTTTTATGCCACATATTTGTGTAGTCCAATATACATCTTTCTTGCTTGTTACTTTTACCAAGACTGAGTCAAATTTCTTATCATTTTGATGATTCCAGAACTATGTAGTACACACAAATACTTAAATGCTACATTATCATCATTATCATTTTATTATATTTTTGTATGTCCATTCTTTCAAAATGAGAGAAAAATGTATATGGTAGTAGTAGCTTTAATAAGACTAAGTGCGTTGCACATGGATAAGGTTTTTAATACAGCTCATGCTTGCCAGCTAAAGAAACTAAGCCAAATTTGTTAGAATAATTATGTCACAGGAGCCAAGGGTACATGTAGATGGTAATTCTGTAAATGATAGCTCACAAGTAAGCAATGTTGTTAGGCACTCACGTAGCAGTAGGAGGGTGAATTGCCCAGTTCGCCTTGATTTGTAAATATGTTTATTTGATCATATTATCAGATGTTTATCATTGTTTGTATGATCACATGTTTATTATTGTTCATATTATCACAAGTTTGTCTTTGTTTATATTATCATATTTTGTTTATCATTGTTCATATTTATCACATGTTTATCATTGTTTAGTATTAAATATTGATACTATGTTGTAAATATGTTTGTACTCTCATACCCTGAGAGGGGGTCGATAGAGTCAATAAAAACTTACAATCAATCTTACAATCAACTTTTTCTGATCGATTCCACACCGTTTCCTTCACAATGCAATCGCATGACCAGAACTCAACTTTATCTTTAAATGTCCTTGATATCTATTTATATGTATCATTGTGGAAAATACAATGAACATTACGCAAGTAAACAAAACAACAAAGCCCCCAGGTGCCTTGCCCATCATGACCTAACCTACATCGTAAGAGCACTTCATTTGATATTCTAATGCCTCTCAATGAGTCAATACCCTCATCTCATATTACTTCACAGAATGTAGGAATGACTTATGTATGTAGGTCTTAACCATAAACAACTTCTAATTAAAGTAAACCAGAGTCAACAAACTTAAGTTGTCTTCAGGAACTGAATGAATCAAAGTCATAGTGTAGTAATTGACATCAGATACCCATGAACTGTCTTCCCATGCACCTACATGTACATTATGACTCTTGCGGTGCCATTTGTGGCTTTTTACTTTCCAAAAGTCATTATCTTTAGCTATCACTTTGAAATCAACTAAATGACACTCCTACAAAGACTTACATTTGGTCAACTAACCCTTAAACAGTCAAACCTGCTTTAGTGACCACCTGTCTACAAAGACCACATCTTTTGTTTCCCTTGAAAGTGGTTTCTCATTGAAACATGTATTAAAGGAAACTGTCTACAAAATCACCTGTCTTCAAAGACCACTTTTTGTGTTTCCCTTGGGCGGTCGCTATAGACAGGCTTGACTGTGCAACAATTACCCCTTAGGTACATCTTACATGAAAATGTATACTTTGATAAGCCCCCATCCCCTCCCCCTATTTCTCCCTCTTTCACTTTTGTTGATACAAAGAAAGATACATGTACTTGCTCTAACTTGCTGTCATGTCTTTTCTTCTCCTTTATAGAACTAATTTCAAACAATGAAAACAATCAAATTAATGACCCAAGATTAGGATCTAAATTATTTTATAATTTCTCTTTCTGTTATCAAACTAATACTAGTAAGATCATTAAACAGTGTATATTTTTAATCATCATGGTCCAGTGGACATGTCACTGGACTGTTGATCAAAATGACAAGGTACATGGTTTGCGACCTCTTAGTGCTTCTCTATTACATCCTTGAGCAGAGTGCTCAAATGTGGCAAGATTAATGTCTTGCCACACTTTAACACTCCACTCAGGTGTGGTAGATGGGTCTGGTAATCCTTGAAATGCACTAAGTGAGCACTGCTGATACTCGCTGGTTCTGAAGCTGGGTAATGATTTCCAAGGATCTTTGGAATTGCATCAGACTATTATACCATGCTAATGTAAGTGCAGTATGTGCTCTACAAAAGCGGAGTATTATTTATTGGATTTATTTTAAGCAAAAGGCATTTGCATTAATGATAAAGACACCTTCAAACATGCCAGGCTAGACAATGCATACACACATCAAAATGCTTGTTGCAAATCATTTTTATTGCTGTTGACAAAATAATAGAAAAGGAAATTGCTTCAGCTATTTTGTGCATAAAACAGTATGGGTGTGTGTCCGAATTTGTTTAGTTTTTAGTTTTGCACATTCATTCAACTTGCACTTTCACTTTCCTTTACGTTGATGAACATGATATGAGATGGATGCGACTACATCTCTGATATGCCTCCCTCGTATGTTTGTTCATCAATGATTGATCCTGTGGTCTTTCATATTTGATCACACGAACCCAACCTCTTTTCATTTACTGGTAATCTTTTCATGCTCTTAGATACTTGAGCCAAATTTGGTCAACATTGGGTACATTTTTGGTGAATAATCACAGTAATAAGATGTTTTTTTTTTTTTATTTCTAACACTTTCATGACCCTGTGATCTTTCACCTTTGACCTCTAACTTCCAAAAACTAATCAGTTCATCATTGTATGCTCAGTTGGTTTAAATAGCTTTCAGGTTTTTCAAGTTATCATGTTAACAAGATATTTTGTGGTATTTTGTTTTATTTTACCTTTAACCCATATAACCTTTGACTCTTTATGACCCTAAGATCTTTGACCTCTTCCCACAAATTTAATCAGTTCATCCTTGCATGCTAATACATACTTGATCTAAGTTTGGTTAAAATCCGCTCAATACTTCTTGATGGTTGAACAATTTGTTTTACACATTCAAATCGAATTTGTTTGTACCTTTAGTACGAACTTTCATATGCTAACAGCCTTTTTCGCGTCAGTTCTCGATTTATCGCACTATAAAAAACAGAACAGACAGACCTGCATACCTGCCAACATTTGAAATAAGAATGAGGAATTTCTAGCATGGTATGCCCTCGAACCCTTGTTAACAGGTGTTTGCACATGCAGCGGTAGTGTAACTGGCAACACGCGGTAAATTTGTACAAAAAAGCGAATGCAAATTCGCTGCCCGATCGTGCAGCCATTCACATGATAATACAAGCTTAATTTGGCTTTAGCAACAACAACAAAAAATTTGAAAATCAGAATATTCCTCATTATTCGGAAGGGTTGGCAGGTATAACGATGCCTCGGCATGAAAATGGATCAAGTACCGAATACAGACTTTCATAGCATCTTGACTTTGCACAAGAGAGAGATTATGTGATATTTCTAATTTTGAAAAATGACAAAAATTAAAAATAGCTTCAATTGAAATAATATTGCTGTCAGAATTTTGGCAATATAGGTAATACTGAACTCCACATGCAAACAATGTTGTACTCCACTTGGAATCGTCTAATATATCTCATCCAATATTTTCATGTAATAACCTCATGGACATCCAGTATCATATAGCTGTTATGACATAATAGGCATATTACAATTACCTTGATAATTATGAAACCAAAGCTGTCACACCTTAAATTAAAGCCCTAAAACCTGGTAGGCCTACCTGTAGACAGTCTCAGGTGTAAACAACCTATTCACACATAAAAAGCAAGGCTGTGCTCATATTCTTAGAAAATACAGTCACGTTCTGTTTTCCATCTGTCATTCAACTTCTCATGTTCAAGGTACATTACATAAAGAATGCCTGGATTTCTAGGCCACCATGGTATAAAACTACTGCAGTCCATTTATTTTCCTACAGAATATGGATTTACAGTAGACTTGCGGGTGCACCATGTGAGAGAGAGAGAGAGAGAGAGGATTGAGGAGTCCTGAGGAGAATATGGATTGTTTGAGCTAAACGGATCATTTGAAGTGATCTATATATTTCTTTTAAAGCAGAGCAATGAGTAACTGCATGGAAAATGTGTGAAAAGATGTGCAATTCAGGTTACATTGGACATCTAATAATAATAATAATAATAATAGGCATTTCTATAGCGCTGTCTATCTAAATAATTCTATTCCGAGGCGCATTTATTATTACCCCAACTTTAGCCTAGCTGCAGTTTAAACAGTGCTCCAGCATTTCAAGGAATTAATTCCTGCCAGGTACCCATTTACATCACCTGGGTTGAGTGTGGCAAATGTAGATCGATGTCTTGCCATGACGAGGAAATGATGGCTCAGTGTTTAAGAACCGGAACTGATAACAGTAATAGCAATTGCTGTACTAGTACTAGCAAATGTAACAACACACAATTTTTTTCCAGCAAGTAATGTTGCATTACAAAAGTAAGGCCTGTTGCATGTCACACACAGTGTCTATACAATATAGCTGTCCCCAAGTCATGTATCGCATTTTGAGACTTTTATTTTCATTTATTTCTTCAAAGATAACTCTTATATCATGATGATCATGATATACAGTAATGAGTTCATGCTCCATGGAAATAATATGATAATTACTGAAAAGTACATAATTGGTAGTGGTTGTGGCTTTAAATGAACTTAACGACTCACAAATTTGTCCTTGAATCCTTGATACGCGAAAAAATTGGCTTATACAGTACATGTAACACCTTGGCCATTAAATCACTAGTACCAGCATGTATAAACAATATCATGTATTTAATGAAATAAATACATAATAAATATGTCACAAAAACAATTTGAATTGAAAATAAATAGCGAAACGTGATAAAAGGGTACATACCTGATCTTGTAAGAAGAGTTCATTAGCCTCTGCTACCAGTCTGTCTGTTGCTATGACCCCTCCAAGGTTATGTAACCACTCATTCTCAACGACGAGAGAGATAACCATCAAGCACTCCACCATCAGCTGGCGGTACTCCTGCTCAGGAATCCTACAATTTAAATCAAACAAAAACAATTCATTAGAAGGAATGGCATAATGGATCGGGGGGGGGGGGGTGTTTCACAAAGATTCTAAGTCAAACTTAACTCTAAGTTGGGCTTAAATATTATGGAGAGCCATTTGTAGCCTTAAAATAAAATATATTCAAAATCAGAAATTTAAGTATTTTAGATTTTCCATAAATTCCACATGAAGAACATGAAATCTCCTTGATAATAGAAAATATGAATGATTTGAATCAACATTTTATGCCTTTTAAAATAAGTTTTACAAAATATTTTCAAAGATGCTAACGGCTTTCCATAATTGTTAAGTCCAAGTTAGAGACAAGTTCAACTGAGGATCTTTGTGAAACACTCCCCTGGTCGTTAAATTTAACAAGAAATAATAGATATCGCGCGAGCGACTTAAAAACTACTTTTCAAATTATTCGCATTTAAAGATTTGTTTTATATTTAAAATGCTTTCCGTCCCGAAAATTGGTTTAAAACAGAAAAGACTAATAGAAATGTAGTAGTAGAACACGGCCACAATTTTTTTCTCAGAAATAAGTCAGTTTTATAAAAGTTTGAGGCGATTTAGTGCTTACACCCTTCTGCTTAAAAGTTTCATTATTGACCTAAAATTTGAGCTAACGCCCTTCTCCAGCCAGGCGACGATATGAGAAAAACATGGCAGTAATTCCACTTTAGACCACTACAACAACAAGTAAAAGAGATTCTAAACAAGCCAATGGATCTAATTTTCTCATTATTGTCATCAAACTAAATGCATCACAAAGCTCCAATAAAAGGTTGTAAAAATGATAGCTAAATTAAACATAATGACAACCTCAAAGAAAATATTTTACAGTTGAAATGGATACCGGTATATATTTTTTTAAATATGTGAAATATTCTTAATGCATGTTCACTTACAAATGTATTCATGACCTATCCACGGGTAATTCTTCCAGTTATTTGCGTGGATGAGGCTCATCCCTCAAGTATGTTAAGCACACAAAGTCACTCTTCATAAAGAGTAGGAAGGGAACCCCATATACTATTACACCTTTGTATCCCAATGAGTTATACCTAGGGAAGTGTTCTATGGGCTATAGTGACAGGTCAGGGTAAATCATTTATTAACCCGTTGACTACTGACTTCATTCATCTCCATAGGTTTAATACAGGGGGCACCTGGTTTCAGTAGGCAATGGATTTATAATGATAAGATGGTTAAGAGGCATGAGAACGAACCTGTTGAGAACCTCTTCCACTCTGAGTGCAAACTTGAACTCATGAGGGGTCATCTCACGGGTCAGGTGCTGGGGTAAGAAGTGACTCACAATACGTAGGCCTTGACACTGTAAGAAAAATATCAAAAACTAAAACGTTAAGAACGTTTTTTTTCTTCAATGCATTACACTTCAGCTCCGAGTTGAAGTACAATTTACAAACATGAAACACAAGTCTTATATTCTAAATGAAACTGAAGCTCCAAGATAAGCAAAATATTGATGCCCCAAGCCCTTACGATTAAAGATAAAGTAGAGTTCTGGTCATGCGATTGCATTGTGAAAGAAAAGGTGCGGAATGGATCAGACAAAGTTGATCATGTAGCATTTAAGTATTGGTGTGTACTGCAAGGTTCTAGAGTTATCAAAATCATAATAAATTTGGCCCGGTCTTGGTAAAGTAACAAGCACTGTACACAGAAAGATGTATATGGGACTACACAAATGGTGTTGGGCCTACATACCTTGATTTCCTTATCTTTCTATGCTTATTACTCAGCCAGTATACATTTTTTACCAAAATTGTTTGGCAAATGACATTTATTTGTAATCTTGAGCATTCAGTGTAAGCTTCATTTGATTCTGTGAGAACTCAAGTTACTCAAGTTTTTATCTTTAATACAATAGGCATGCTGCAAATTCTGTTGGGGGGGGGGGGGGGGCTATGTATTGCTCCAAAATATAACATCTCTAACATATGATGTTAAAAAATAAACAGACCTTTTCTAGAATCTTCCAAACTTTAAAGTAAAAGTCTGGAGGTGCCCTGTTGAGGGCGCCATCTAACCGTCTTCTCCTCAACCACTGACCCTGACGCTCCGTCAGCTCCTCCTCCATCAAGTCACCACTCACGGTCGAATAGGGCTTGTCTGAGGAACTCTGAAAAGCACAGAAAAACATTAGGATAGTACTGCTTTGAAATCCTTGCTATCCATATCCATAATGCTCCTGCACAAAATTTTAATTAATGCCAATTAATTTTTTGAGAATAGGAATAATACAAATAATAATCATTTTCCAATAAATTTTGTAATCAGAAGTCTTCTTTTTGTAAAAGAACAGATCATCCAGAGGCCTAAAAGGTATTAATTTATGAATAAAGGTAAGCAGATCCCTGCTCCCTCAATATATACACATAGTACAATGCACATGAATATACCACATTATAACTTGAACATGTGAACCTCGTACTACAAATCAGAAACAAGTCACACACACCAAAAATAGAAATCACATTAAAAAGGACAGGCATATGTTATGCTTTACACTGTGCCATGTTGTAAATTTGAATCTCAATGCAAGTAACAATCAAACTCTTCTGAAACATTAACCAATCAGGGTCCGTCTTTCCACAACTGATAGCAGATGGCTGTTTGCTGATTGGCTAATACCAGGGAGGTTGCATTCAAGTACGTGGATACTCACTGTGGATATCTGACCCTTGAGGTAGGACATCCCATGGAACTTGTTGGATCGTGAACTCACAATAGACAGCTGGCGTTCCATCGTACCAGCACGATGTGATGCTGTAAAGAAGATGCATGATCAAAGACAATTAATCTTACTTTCACTTGCTAGCTCGGACAGGCGTAAACAAGCCTATTTCCTAAATAGCGGGATATTTTGGAAACAAGACCAAGATTTCTCAGGATATCTTCTCAACCAAATATCCTGAGAAGACTGATGAAGAAGCAAATTAACTGGCTAATTTGCGATCGGGATAGTTGAAATAGTGGGTTTTTGGCAAATCAAGCTGATCAAGGCCTTATATCACCATTACCCCCACCCTGGACAACAAAGCTTTTGGGGTTACTAGAATTCAAGATTAAAAAGTATAATTTACCTGATCAGACTACACAAATTATGGCTAGAGTTGTGAATAGGACATTTTGTTTTGCTTTTAGTCCACAAGGGGTCTTTAGAATGTCCCATTATGACCAAACAACCACTGAATAAGAAAAGCCTTTGATCATATGATAAAAAGTGATGGGGGAGACAGGATCATAAATGATGTAACTGACATAAATATATCAATGAAAATAAGCAAATAATCAATATAAGAAAAAAAAGAATAATGTCTTACTTGTGTTGACCATGAATTCTCTACTGCTGAGGATGTGATGCAGAAGATCCTTAATTTCAAAAGGACTTAATGTCACCAGCTGCTCATATGCTTCATTCACTGCAAGAAAGGAGTAAAGCAATTTGATTTTAAATGGAGGGAAATGAGTAATGATATGCATAATGACATATATTCAAAAGAAGGATAGCAGTGAGATGCTGTTGCACATAAACAAAAAATTGAAGTTGTTCAAAACATAGAAGATGGTTGAAAGGGATCATCTGTTCTGTGCAAAAATCATTTATTTTGCTATATCACTTGGAAATCATAAACTGATTCATGCTTTTAATTTGTTTCACATGCTTGTTGTCCTAAGGTTGAAATGCAGTTCAGTCTCTGAGTTCTTCAAGTGATTGAAAACTAACTAAGCAAGATATCCAGCCGGAGTCTTTGAAAAATGTATGTTATTAAGAAATTAAATGGAATCAAATAAGTTCAAGCATTATATAGTGACAACAGGGTTAAAGTGAGGAAAATAAAGGAACACCAAGAAAATATTGGCATGATAGGCATAACGACTACAAGAAGCCAACATTATCATGTTATCATTATTATTATTATTACATTATATTTCTTGGGGTCGTTACCTTCACATTCCATGGCTCTAGCAAGTTCAGAGGTCATGACCTGTACGATCAGTCCCACCCTCAATCTCAACATCTCAGTGAAGAGGTTTGGCTCCGTACAGATGAACATGGAGAGGTAGATCAGTAATTCCTGAGCAGGAGGAGAGAGAATAAAATGAAAATAAAATACTTCAAACTAAGGGAAAAATGTTTACAGAACAAAAAGCGTCTAAACAATTTTGTTTGTTAAACTGAGAATAAAAAGTATGATGGAAAGATGAACTATAGGAGAAATGAAAGAAGAGGAGAGAAAGGTGATTGAAAAAGGAAAGGGAGTAGAAATCCCAATTAATACCCATGAAGACACCATAAAAAGAATGAAATAAAATTTCAAAAGATTTGATTGAAATGATCTTATAATACAAAAGGTATCAGAGATATTTAAACAAATATTTGAAAGTATTAAATCCCTCTAGTCGCCTGGAAACAATGGGGTATATTTCCTACTGGGGTATAGTTGTAGTGAGGTAAAGTGTTGGGTCCTGAGATTGAAAAAGAGTGTGGCAAATTGACCATGGAGGACCTGTCACCACAGCACATATCGTAGAACCATTGTCTCTCTGTAATTTACCTGTGTAAGCACAGCCGAGCTGCGATCCTCTCCGCAGGCCTCATAGATGAGTGTCTCTAGTTCCTCCGGTGGGAGGGGAGCAGTGATGATCTTCTCCCTGGGCTCTGGGGGTAGACCCACTGACACCTGCTTCTGCCTTACTAAGAGGTCAGTCACTGACTTGGCAAGGTGCTCCACCCTCTTGCATAGGATACCGGCCGTGTGACGCACCACGGACCATGTCTTGTGATGGGCACTCTGCAGGGATAAAGTAGATGAACAAATGGGAAACACCACAATCAGTCTTGCATATATGCACAAACGTGCGTATAACATATACAGAAGATAGAAGACAATACAGTCAAACCTGTCTATAGCGACCACCCAAGGGAAACACAAAACGTGGTCTTTGTAGACAGGTTCCTTCAAAACATGTTTCAATGGGAAACCATTTTCAAAGGAAACAAAAAATTTGGTCTTTGTAGACAAGAGGAATTATAGACAGGTGGTCACTATAGCAGGTTTGACTGTCCTTGGTTTGACGAAACATGACTGTACAAGTGGTTTTCTAGTTCATGATAATGAAGGCATCATAACAAATCAGATGCTAGGCTATAGATGAATCTGATTGAAAAGTTCATTACATGAATAAAACAGCATCATACTGACCACAGGAGTGAATCAATAAAAAATACCCTTTTCCTTTTGAGGGAATGAACGCAGAAGGTACATGTACAGGTAGTGTATCTCTGCTTCCCATTCAAGCAAAACTGACTAATCTTACAAAGATATCAAAAGTAATAATGGTAGAAATTGAAACTAAAACAGTAGTATCAGTACTAATGACATAATCAAAGACAACAATAAAAATAAACTACATCTTCATCCAAAAAAATATTATAACCCTCATTTGACTAATTTATTAACCCCACTTGTCCAATGCAATCAGACAGTTCTTGTATTAGCTGACAGAAAAGAATCCATTAAAGCCTGTCTGCACTAGTTTTGCCAGGAGGGATTGGACCTGCCAGCATGGTCACTGACATATGGTTATCTTTTCAAATCAGCTCTCAATTAACATAAGAAAAAGTGGATCATGTGGGACCAACAGGTACCGCTTAGGCATTGTTTGCAATATAGAGGGCGCAAGTAGCTACAAGTAGTGCAGACAGGTTTTAAGCTACTAATGGGTTGAATGAGAATCATTTAAATTAGGTTGATTTTTCGTCTCACCTTGTAATAAAGCTCCTCAATCAATGCCTTGACAGTCACTCCAGGTTTACCATTGATTTTTGTGTCCCAATCCATACCCCTAAAAAGAATGTTGAATTAAATAAGTAGTTAAGTGGGATTCTATGCACAATCCACACACATTCATGATGATGATGTACTATTTCTGTTCCATGTCACTGTGGAGACAAGAATTCCCTTTACTGACACAAATCACATCACTGGCCAATCAAAAATATCATTCCATAATGTTAATATACATCATTTTATGCTTTCTATTTTAAAACGGCATTAAACCAAGCATTGTCTTGGTATTAAACAATTTTTTGTGCCAGTGAGTTTTAAAGCAGGGTAAAGATTTTCCATGCTACACTATGAGCAATATATGTATCAGGGCCCCATTTCACAAAACCTGTCATCAGTGACAAATGACAGTTTTTCTTTAAGCTCGTGAAATCCTTGCTTCTGGTTGGTTATCAGCAGATTTGTCACTGATTTTTGTCATTTGTTATTGAAAAAAAGGCTTTGTGAAACGGGTCCCTGATCTACAGAATTACATTTGTTGCATGAGGTTCTACTACAACCCCTGGATTGGATTGGAAGTCTTTGACTCATAGAGAGAGTGAACAATGTCTAACAAACTTCACCTAATGTTTAATATCTAATGAACATTACTCAACATGACTATGTACATGTGACAGGGTTCCCACAGGAAGTTGAGAACTAAATTCCATGACTTTCCATGACCCACTTTTGCCTTTTCCCGTGACCCGATAACTACCATTTTGATATGGGATGCGGCATCCAAGCGGTGTATGGCTACCACACAGTAACATATATTTTTTCTTGTTTGTGATGGTCTCTGCGCCCCCCCCCCCCTCAAAATTTCCTAGACTTTTAATGACTTTGGGGGAAACAAATTTTCCATGACTTTCTATGATTTTCCAGTAGAATTTATTTTCCAATGACTTTCCGGCTTTTTCTATGACCATGGAAACCCTAAGCATGGAGCAATATCACAGAAAAGTAATGTAATCTAATGAACATACTCACTTTGACTCATACAGGTAGTGCACTATGTCAGCCTGTTCATGCAGAGAGTCTGACTCCTGAAGCTGTTGGACTAACTGGGCAGCCTCCTGGCCTTTATAGATCTCTTCCAACTATTACAAATTAAGAAATTAAGAGAATGAAAAGAAAATACACAAATGATTAAGAGACACGTCGTCATCATAGCTTAGCGTCTATTTTCTCCACACTGTGGGGTTGGAGGTTTCATTTCCCTGATGGCTCTTCTCAAAGACTTCCAGTCTGCAGCATCTGCTTGGGTGAGGTCAGATTCTCTCAAATCTTCTTCTAGTGTCTCCTTCCAGGTTTTGAGAGATCTGACATGACACACACACACACACACCAGTTATGAGTGAATGGTAAATGAATAATTCCCTTGAAGCTCATATCTTGTGTGTGATCTTCAGTCACTTACTTCCAAAAGTAGACTCACAGTTCCCATTTCTTGGGCTATCTGTCTCTCCATTTTAAAGACTTCATCTCCTCAATACAATACTGAAACATTTCATAATTTTTTTGGTGAGTTTCAGCATGCCTTGAAAGATTAATTGACGTGAATTGACTGAATCCTCGAACAATGCTTAAAGGCATCGTTTAACAATGTTAAATCTGAGATGCATGGCCCTATGTGTTATCAGTGTCTGTGATATGGTGTAATATTGAAGCCCTAAAAAAATTGCACTTCAAAATGATCAAGAAGTGCCTCAAAAAAGTAAAAAATCTTTGACCGGTTTTACCATACTCGTTTTCCCCCAATAGGCTGTAGTGTTAAGAAAACCGTTAGGAAAACGAAAAATGAAATTTCGATTTCCAATCGTAACTATCTTGATAACCAGACAGGCGATCGGCTTGTAAAAGTCATGGGATTCCTGACTGACCTAAAGGTTTATAATTATCATTGCAGCATGAGCTAAATCCAGGATTTTGTTTCAGAATCTGAGACAAAGTTACCGGATCCCTTTAAGGGACACACTACACCTTATCTTCGTCATAATCTTATCTTTTCAGGCAAAACTAACCTCCTTGTACTCAAACCAAGATGGCGTCCTCTTCATAGGGGAGCCAAACGACCCATCAGCGTCGGGACGGAGGTGAAATTTACCCGGAGATGACGAGAGCGGAATTTCAATGCCAGTATTTTCAAAGACAGTTTCATGCGAGTCCGTATCATCTGAAATATTGGAATGTAACAATGAAGATGAAATAAATTTCTGCTTTCTGACAATTCTGACATTCAATATAGCATGAATACATGATGATACGATGAGAAAATATAGCATTAATACCTTGATTGTTCTATCAATAGGTTGAACTGAGAATCTGTTTCTTCTAAATATTGAACTAAAACAATGTATTGCTTCAGCAATGGAGAGAACAAATTTCCGTGACAATGAAACAGAGATTGTTGGAAGGGTGAAGGTGAAAGGTGAAATTTTGTGTACATTCTTTTTAAAACTTGCTACTTTCCTTTGAAAAAATGAAATTTATGTTAGCTATTTGAATCATTAAACAAAAAAATTCTAATGAAAAATGTCACAATGAGCATAATAGTAGCACAGCATTATATCTGTAGATGAAAATCAAAATCATGCACTTGAAAAGAACAGAAATAAACAAAATAAAACAAAACAAACGCACACACAAACATAGTACACACACCAGGACCCTGTAGAGATTAGATATAATATTAAACAGACAGAACAAATTGAAAATATTGTTCTTCCATCTCCAAAGACACATCAGTGAACACCCCTATTAGGTACACAGGACCATCACCAAATTGTGTATCAGCTGAAAATTAAAAACATAAGTTGATCATAACTACAATTCTTTTAAATATATTTATTTTTTAAGACACTATATAGAGAAACATGCATCAAATTGTCATTATTTACAACCATTGCCTATATTGATATGCTACCATACTTGTATACAAGCAAGCATCATTGTGGGTGTATCAATCTGCAAGCAAGCAAGCCTGAAGCAGAACAACTTTTAGGAATGAGTTTCCACCAGGACCCCGTTTCACAAAACTTGCTATCAGTAACAAAGGCTGATATCTTATAATAATTTCAATCTCAGCCCATCAAATACAATGATTTCTGCAGCTTATATCAATTACTGTAACTGGTTAATATTGATAACAAGTTTTGTAAAACAGGGCCCAGATCAGAAGCAGATAATCTGTAAAGATATGCATGCTTTACAATCTGTGCAAGTTATTTAAATTTCAGGTTACTGCTATAAAAAATATGAGTATCACAGAAGCCATTTCTGTACATGTAGTTACAATATTCATAACAAAAGCAAATTAAATTAAAAATAAACAGTGTACTATTACTTAAAGATGTTACATTAAATATTGTGATAGCTGGTTACAACACTACTTATAAGTTACACCTGTTACAGCACATGCAATATATCTTGGGTGATAGTAAGTGTGCTTTTAAAAATTGCAGGACGGAGGAACTAACTATTATCTAATATACAAATATTGAACGCTTTGAGGGACACGGTTAAAACTATTGCCAAAGGTGATCTCGAAACTGCACTGTGACCTGAGACAAATTTGAGGGGTGTAGTGCAGTCTCAAAATCACAGAGGAGATATAGTTTTAAACGTGAGCTGAAGAATAAGTACCGGTCGTCAATATTTGTTTTATATACCGCATCCCTGTGTCAATTCTCAAAAAAAAAATATTTCAACAAAATGTGCCTGTCAAAATCTATTTATTTGTAGAGTCTCACTGTGTGTATCCATTGTTAACTTCATGCATAACCATTGCATCCTAGCATTGTACATTGTAAGTAGAACTATGCCCGCTTAATATCTTTTGCTATACTGCCCAGCAGTCAGTAGGGAATTTCATGCTTGCAGTTTTGACCAATCACAGGCCTAGAATCTTCATATGTGGTATATACATCTAATACACACTACTGGAGGTGTGCAATACTCTGGAATTGTGATTCTAACATCTATACACATACACTTTTAGCTAGAAACTACATCAGGAAATTATCAAAAGATAATTAAAATCTTTCATACAGGTGCATAGCTAAGTGCACTGGACTGCTACAACTTCCAAAAGAGAGGGGCTACATCAGTTACTGTGCGCTTTAAGTTTTAATGCATTGCATTGTCCAACATTGTCAAATTCAACAAAGTAATACCAATCTACAGACCAGTGACAGAGGATACAAAAGTGCGACTATATAATCCAGGTCCAAAGTGAAAGGGGTCCAAAGTGAAAGGGTGCCAAAAGAAGGATGCTAGGCTTGTTTAAACTTCTTGGAAAGTCCCAAATTAAAATACTTTTGGAGATGCCAAAAGGGTGGTGGCCTGCCTTCAACAGCCCCTGCAGATAGCACACTTGCGGACAGAGATAGAGTGAAGGCAAGGCCTAACTACGCACTCAGCCATTTAATAGCTGCCATTGATAACAGGAAGCATTTAAGATACTGCACATTCTGCAATTACAAAACCTGTGAGAGTCAGTAACCCCCACTACTAATTCACTTTATGCACCTACTTTTATAGAGTGGAGAGAGATTAAGAGGAACTGAAACAGAGTTAAAAAAAGAATAGGAGAAAAAGAGACAGAAATAAAGATGAAGAGAGACAGAGACAAAGACAGAGAGAGGGAGGAAGAGAGAGAGAGAGAGAGAGAGAGAGAGAGAGAGAGAGAGGGTGGAGGGAGGAGAGAGGGGGTGGAGGGAGGGGAGAGAGACATGATAGAGTGGGAGGGAGAGAGAGAGAGAAAGAAAGAGAGGGCGGGGAGAGAAGAGGCGGAGAGAGAGGGGGAGGAGGGAGCAGAAGCACATCAATCTGCACACTCACAAATACAATACCAATTAAGCTGTAACAATTGCCTTATCCCCCAATTTTATGATTCTTAAGGATGGTCATTAACAAATTAATTGGTATAAAATATTTAAAGACATTTTTTTTTCTTTTACAAAGACTTTTTACATGATAATTATTTACCAAAATAGTACAAGTAATATTCATAAAATATAAATCATATTGCAAAAAATAGGAAGATAAAATGAGTACACTGCATAAACATAATATTTCATGTTTACCTTGAAAAAATTTCCAACAAAAATTGAAAGAAAGATTGGAAGAAAAAAAATATAGGGGTGTCAGAAACCAAATATGCAAACAAACTCAATTGATCATAAAAATTTGAACTAAAAAGAATGGAAAAGTTGTCAATGTTTTGCTAAATCTGGCTTCATGCGATTACACAGTCAATAAAACTGCAAAGCATCCATGATTAATTTGAAAACAATTCAGCTATTAGTCACTGTTCAGTGTTTAAGAATCCTCTAACACTTAATATTACATAGAAACAATATTTGTCCATGCTCTATTGGCGATCTAATCTTATTTTATGTGCAACTACATGTTGCGGGATCATTTTAAAATGATATTGTTTTTGTTAAAGTGAGATTAAAATTGCCTTAGATATATTTCATCAGTTCAACATCCCCCCCCCCCCCTCACTGCATTTTATTCTAGATTATTGGATATTGGGTTACTAGGGGCATCTCATAGGATAATGAATTTTTGCAACCAATGTGAAAATGGAATGTACATCTAAACAGCAATGCAAAATTTTCGCTATTTTACAATTTGATTTTATTATTGATACTAAACACAAAGTTGCTACTCAAATTGGGTAGAATTATTTTAAAAAACAAAGATCGTGGGAAATACAGAATTCCCTTCTCCATGTAAAAACAAATTAAAAATCCAAGAAATCATGCATAATGATATTTTATGGATTTTTGATGAATACTCCTTTGTAATGAATCAAATCCGAACCCTCAGAGGCCCTCTAAAAAAAGAAAATTATGAGGATGAAAATGGCCCCTCCCCCCTCCAAATGCAAGATGCAGCCTAAACCAATTGACTCCTAGCTATTAGTATTGCACTGCAGACAAATGGAATTTGGTAAGAATGAGTTTGTTTCTTTTAATAGCGAGCAAATCGTACCGCTGCAGCAGCTGCTGCAGCTGCTGCTGGTGGGAGAGGAGCTTTTATCAGGAAGGTCTAATACCAGAGTAGGGGACGAGTCAAACACTTCATCGTCATCCTCCTCGATCGTGTTACCTTCTTGTAGCAAGGAGGTCGTATACGGGGTCGTGTACGACTCCACGCTGCCTTCCCGCTTAAGCTTAGGATGATGCTGATGATGATGGTGCTCTTGTTCTTGTTGCTTTTGTTGCTCAATGAACTGCTCTCTGATGTGGGTGAGCGTGGGGGACTCCACATGACGTATGGAGGGCATGTTAAAGTGAATGGAGGCCTTGCGATTCAAAAGGTACATGAGCGGCCGTGTATCTAGTGGTCGTGGAGAAGCACAGAGTATTGGAATACCAATAACAGGAAAGCTTATAAATACAACTGATGCAACTTTCATTTTCATTCATATTCTATGCACTCATTACATACAACAAAAACATACAATTTCCTTTCTACAGTTAGTGATAAGTACTACAGCAGCAGTATATTGATTTGCAAGAGCGTTGGTAAACTTCTTCTGGATTTGAATTATTTTAGTTTCACATTCTTTACAAGAGAAAATATTGTTTAAAATAAATTTTCAGAGTATCTCAGCAATGTAGCTTCTAGCCCCAGGATGGACTCTCCTTAAACCAATGATTGATACTAACTACATGTTAGCCTAAATTGATAACCCCTTCTAAAAATAAACCTAAAAAGTAAATTTTGAAATCATTTTCACCAGACCGACTCCTTTTTAACATGAATAGAGTACTACACAGGTGTTATCATTCAATGGAGAGAAATTAAAACAAAAGTTGGAAAATATTACCCACCACTTTTGCTCAAATTGGACATGAGGTGATCACAGAGACTAAAATCTACTAAAATCACAATCACTATAGATGCTAAAACACAGATACTGTACATCTACAAACATATTGATTTTCGTCTAAAATCCTAGATCTTGAAGCAAATTATTTAAACATGGCAAAGGTGGATGTGGATGTAGATCTATCAAGAAGCACTACAACAAAAATTATATTTAACTTGATGGATGAATGAGAACTTGAATTTCACGATGAAGATTTGCAAAATGTCAAGAAATATTGCATCAAAATGAGTGAGTTTTGATTGGTGGCAAATCGTGCCTTACTCTATGAAAAATGTTTTGTGTGATCAGCTTGTGAGAATACCCAAGAATGCAATTGCTCATTTCATTAATCTTGCTTGATTTCAGTATCAAAATATGTTAAATTTGGCAGCTCCTCTGAATCCCCTGGATGGAACTCTTAAGCCCCACTGTACTACTTGTAGCTACTTGCGCCCTCTATATGGCAAACAATGCATTAGCGGTACCTGTTGGTCCCCCATGATCCTTTTTTCTTATGTTAAGTGAGAGCTCAGTGATTTGATGAGACCATGCAGGGAGGTCTAATCCCCCCTGGCCAAACTTGTACTGACGGGCTTTAAGCTGTAATTCCCAGAATGACTTCCTCAGCATACTGGGTGCAGTAAACCATGGGCATTGGTAATGCGGACACACATCTTACCCATTGTTCAATAGCATGGCAGAGATGACATATGAGTGCAATGGACAACAAATTTATTGCTCAATTTGATGTTTGCTTCAAATCATTCTTAGAAAAAAGAACTGATCTTACCATACGATCCTATAGGAGATATGATGCCTATAAGAGCATGCAGAAGGAAGGATGATTAGAAATCTACAAGTTCTAGATTTATCTCTTTGCATTGAATTCATCACAAGCCTTAATTAACCAAATTCAATTATTCAGTTTCTGTCCAGATGTATAAATGACACTATTTTCTAAAGCCTAAATAAGAGTTGTTCATTGAGAATATATGATTATACAAGAGCCTTCATATAGAGATTTAAAGACATTTGAACCAAGCGCACAACTGTATTAATGGAAAGCACATGTATAATTTGTTGCAAATACAAATATAATATAAAATTAAGAAGGACTGGACAACACAAGACATAGATAAATATGTATATATATATATATGCACTTTCATTAAAAACATTTACACAAAATTATTATATTGCAAAAATATATTTGATTTATCATTATGATTATCGATTAATAAATATTATTAATCCTCCTAGGTCTACTGTGCCTGAAAAGGTAAAAAAAAATGAAATCTTGGTGATACTAAGGTCTAGCCTTATTTCCTCTATCTACCAAATTTTGAGAAAATGAATTTTGTTGCCGAACAAGGCAAAAAAAGAAAACGGTCAATACTGAACACTGCATTTAAAAAATATTGTAATACTTTTAAACACTATCTGTAACAAAATGATCTGTCTTCAAATGTAGTCAAGATTCTAAACGGTTTTTCCCTCTAAGTCATATAATGAAAAACTGTTTTACCTGTTATAATTAAACTTTATGTTGCATACATCAGTAGTTATATCTAAACTCACGCAAGAACTATGGCGAACATTAAAAAAAAAAATCTTTTGTGAACTGGTTTATTAATACATTTTAAAAAAGCATTCTTTCCCCTTGGTGTATTGTTTGAATGTTGCTTCAAAGGCCTCATTTCTCCCTAAAGCCCACCACACGCTATATGATCTTCCTGCGATCCGATTTTCAAAGAAATTACAATTATAGATATATATAGAAACCTAAATCTCTGATGCAGGTTCTAAATAATGATAAGAATACTAACAACCACAATTTCAGTGCATTTAAGCCTTCTATTCAGAATAAAAGCTGAATCGGCTTCAAATTGTATACAATCGCACTACTGGTATGACATCATTACGAATCTGAGCAGATTTACCTATTCCTCCTCCAAGGAAGCTTGAAATCCCTTGAAATATTAATTTCATTAATTATATGACTATTCAAATCATCAATCATTAGAGTCTAGAAGCTTGAATGTTCATATCAAATGTTATTGCGACTTATTCGAAAATCAGATCGCTGTCAGATCGTATAGAGTGCGCTGGGTTTAAAATACAACATGCCGAACAAGGACATAGATCATGCAAGATCCCTTTTGACTAACCTGGATTAGCAGAGCTCTCTTCTATATAGATGGACCTTGTTCTTTGGACGATGCCATGAAAACGAGAGGAGGACCGGGGGTTATCTCCCGTGCCCTTATCCGAGGTGTGAATAGATGATGAGCGTGGAATCTCTATCGGGGTCGAGGTCAAGAGGTGAATCCCTCCTTCGTCTTCATCGGAGGACTGCTGGAGTTGCTCCTGGTGCAGGATGTGCAGATGATGTTGAAGGTCATGGTGGTTGCCGTGGTGATGGTGGTGGGAGGCGGTGGGGTCTAATTGCTTTGCACCTCGTAGGCAAGGCTCGGGGACAGAGGAGTCACTGGATGGCTCTAGGGCCTGAGAGAGTTCTGAACCTGGAAAGTAGTCATAAAGAATGATAATAATAGAATGTTAGTAATCTGAGATATCAACAGTTAGTAAAGATACATGCAGAGAGATACAGACAGAGCGTGTCAAAGAGATTGAAAAATAAGATTGCAGAAAAATAAGATAAGATAGCATAAACCTGAGGGAACCACAGATTTTTAAATTTTTTTTTATACCAAATTTCTAACTTCAACCCTAGACCCAACACTGAACATAACCCTTAAAGCCTCGGTCACAAATACCGTTACGAACTGCTACGAACGCCGTACGAACGATTTTCAGATAATGGAAATTTGGGAAGACAATGGAAAAACGGAGATTTGTACGAAATAATCGTTCGTACGAACCTTTGTGACCGTAGCTTCACCTAACCCGTACCCTAAACCAAAAATTGAAATTAACCTCAAACCCCATTTACAACCTAAACATGTATCCTTCACCTTTGACAAAATGAAACCTTGAGCGATCGTATGATTACCACAGAAATGTGAAAGAAGAGGGAACACTATCATTTAAAGGGATGATCAGTTTCAGGTTGATCTTAAAAATATACCACATAATTGTGGTATTCTGCTGGTATGATAGCCTATCAAAACACACAAAAAAATCATGTCACACTCATCGTATGTTCTAAGTAGTACTGAATACAAGTTTACAATACCTGAGGTGGAAAAGCCCTCCAGATAGCTTAGTTTCTCTATGCATGATGTGTTGATGATGTCAGATAGATTCCTCAACTGGACCTGAACACCGTTCACATATCCAGATTGAAACTTTTGAAAGATGTTGATCATGGCTCTCTGGACATCATCATCTTCTGCAAGAGGTCAAGAAAGAGGAGATGGGGGGGAGATAATGAAAAGATCACAAATGAAAAACAGGAAAATAAAATTGAGGGAAAGTAGAGGGTGCAAAGGGGGGGGGGGGGGACTAAAGAATACATATAACCTGTAAGAGGAAAATATATGAATCATACAGATATCTTAAAAATTACAGAATTCAAATGGTTTTGAAATATTGGCATCTGCATCTTTATAGGCCTTTATGAAATATCATGAACAAAAACTAAAAAAATTGCAAAGTTCTAACATTAGAATATATAAACCAAATCAAATACATGTATTTCTTTTTATAACAGTGTTATTATTTCAAAGAGACATAGCTGTATACTGCAAATTCAATTATAATAGTGAATAGCTATAAAAATGCAACATCAAGCTTCAAAAGAAAACCTACATACCCTAATATAGCAAAATATGTCTCTTTTAAGGTTTACTACCCCTTGATAATAATAAGTGTGCATATATATCGGACAAAACCATAGATATGGCATATGCTTTTCATACAGAAGACATGGGATTGGCTTGAAAAACTAAAAAAGCATGACTGAGACACAAGGGCCTAAGTTCACAATGAGGTTTAAATTTAACCCATCGTTTAAACCCTCATTTACATAACCCATGGTCTAATATTGGACCTCTGACTTGTGTCACGCTTATTTTGCGCTGATTTTATACCATGGTTTATGTAAATGAAGATTTAAACCATGGGTTAAATTTAAACCTCCTTTGTGAATTTGGGCCAAGATGTCAGCAATCTCCTGAATTGGTCTTGACCTACCCATCATGCTGTGCCTGACCTCTATGCACATGGTTGGTCGACCTAGCTCTCTCCAGTTATACCTGAGATAGGACATGTCATTCATACAGATGCTGGCTAGAAGGTCATTGTCAAGGGCAAGGTAGAACTGATGATGGTCCAAGAACTGAAGCACGATGAGAGGAAAAAAAAATATATATATATATAAAAAAGTACTGGTCAACTGAAGAACAATGGTGCCATGGAAATTATAGATATATATATATACACGTACCGGTATGAAAGGGTAAAATGACAGATCTACTTATATTGGAGGCGTGATGCCCTCTTACGAGTTGCTTTGTAGTCTTTTAGCCCTGTAAGTCTGCATCATGGGTGGCAACTACACAGTCATGTAAAGTCTTTTAGTTTTAATGCTATCCAATATTGCATATTTAAAAAGAAAATACATGATTCATATGTATGTGCACTAAAAAAAAATATATAACTAAAATGAATATGTTTCAGGGATTTTTAAATGCTATGAAGCATATCCTAAACATAAGGAAAAATTGAATGAACCTAGCTTTGACCAGCATTATACAATCAAGAAAACACTAATTATAAAGGCTCCTTTCAGTAACTTAATCTATTTTCTGTGTATGATGAGTGAGTGTGTGGTACTAAGAGGATTAATAACTTACCTGTGGTAGAAAAGCTATGATTTTTTCATGGATTGCGTAGAGTTTACTGGTGCTAAGGATACCCACTTCTTTCTTCACGTTTCCAGATAATCCCAGTTTATCATTGTGACCTACATATATGAAGTAAATCCATTCGATAATAATAATAATAGGCATTTCTATAGCGCCATGTATCTAGATAATTCTATTCCGAGGCACATTTATTATTACCCTGGCTTTAGCCTAGCAGCCCTTTATACAGCGCTCCAGCATTTCAAGGAATTAATTCCTGCCAGGTACCCATTTACATCACCTGGGTTGAGTGTGGCAAATGTAGATCAATGTCTTGCCAAAGGACATTAGTTCAATTAATACTTGTCCAAAAAAATCATAACAAATCATGTGTTCACCCGTGTAAGCTAAAGAAAGTGGAATTCATGAGTAAAGGACATGTATTACAACATCTTATTATGAATGCCTGGCATAACATATATGTAGACCACCATAATGCTTTACTTAATAGCCATACAATCTCTCTGGTAAAGATTCATGATTAGATGACCACAGCATAATCACAGAAACTTTCTACCATATTTCCTTGATATAATATATAACACTACTGGTACTGGTAAGTTTCAAAAATAAATAAGAATACATAAAAGGACATGAAGAATTTAAATATTCATACGAGTATCAAAAGTAAAATGTCCATCACTTGGAATAATCAAATTCTAGATAATAAAATGAGCAAACATAAAAATATAGACAGTCTGATTGTATCAAATATATAACAGGTGTTCAATTACAATTACATAATTGATCATGCATACAAGCATAAATGCACTTGACCTGGCTGTACTTCAATTACTCACCCATGAGTCTTGTTATATTGCACAGCGCCTTCGCAGGACGTATTTTGATAGGAGCGACCTCTGCTACCGTCTGGATCTGGATGCCGTGTTCTTTCATCTTTTCCTGAATGTAATTATCTTCGGCCAATAATGCAACTGAAGATTTTAGGAAGGACAAAAAAAGTGGTTCCAAGTTTAGACATGCCAAAACAGCTCACAGGTAAATGAAAAACATGCACAACCCCTTTCACCTGTAAGTTTTCATCAGTGACAAAGGAAGGCATTATGTTAGTCAGACATACATGTCATCATGAGTAATATCAAGAGTATTAGACCTCACACATGAATCAAAATAGGATACCTGAACTAAAAATCAAATTAGATCCATGTCATACAATTGATATGATATGTAATGAAAAGTACATGTGACCTCTTAATGCTCATACAGATGTACTAAGCTGCAAGGCTACAATACAAATACAAAACCAGGTACTACATGCAAGGTCTACAAAACACACAGACACTCAATGTAAATCATTTCATCATTTGATTCTCAGCACTATTCAAAACACTGAATTATCTCATACTCTAGTCTTATACAAAGCAAGTGTTGAATTGCAGCTAATCCTAACCTACACACCAAAACATTTTGTCTCATATTGTTTTAGAAGTTCTCATGGTTAATTTAAAGCAAAGGTTACCAACAAATCATGAGGACTTGTGCTCCAAGAAACTGCTCTGCATAAAATGCCCTAAATATAGAATACTTTCAACTCTTTTGCTTTGGCTTATAACAAGTGTATGTAACATATGCTGAGAGTAGACAGTAGGGTCTTTTAAAGAGGGACTGCACTACTTGTAGCTACCTGTGCCTCTATATAGCCAACAATGCCTAAGCAGTACCTGTTGGTCCCCCAAGATCCCATTTTTCTTATGTTAATTGAGAGCTGATTTGATGAGATAACCACCTGCCAGTGACCACACAAGGAGGTCTAATCCCTCCTGGCCAAACTAGTGCAGATAGGCGTTAGGATATGCTTTGCATGATTCTTGTCGACTGTTCCACCATACCTTGAATGACAAGATCCGGTTTGGGTTCCGTAGAGAGTCGTCTGTTGAGGGGGTCAATCTCACCCGGTGCTATGAAGCCTTCCCTGAGGAGACAGCCCAGGATGTACAGGGACTGCCCCCACAGCTGAGGCATCTTACCACCGGGTAAACGGTCCTGGCTGCCAGGGTTCTTGTATTCCAGCTCAACCTGTAAAACATGGAGAAGGTCATATTGAAGGTCACTCTGAAGGTCATAATGAAGGTCATAGAGGGAGGACAATTGAACCTGGTGAAGCCTTCCCTAAGGAGACAGCCCAGGATGTACAGGGACTGTCCCCACAGCTGAGGCATCTTACCACCGGGCAAACGGTCCTGGCTGCCTGGGTTCTTGTATTTAAGCTCGACCTGTAAAAACATTGAGAAGGTCATATTGAAGGTCACTCTGAAGGATACAATGAAGGTCATACAAGGTGGACCTGGTGAAGCCTTCCCTGAGGAGACATACCGGGATGTACAGAGACTGCCCCCACAGCTGAAGCATCTTACCACCGGGCAAACGGTCCTGGCTGCCAGGGTTCTTGTATTCAAGCTCGAACTGTAAAATATGGAAAAGGTCATATTGACAGTCACTCTGAAGGTCATAATGAAGGTCATATAGGGAGACAGCCAAGGATGTACAAGGACTGCCCCCACAGGTGAGGCATCTTACCACCGGGTTAACGGTCCTGGCTGCCAGGGTTCTTGTATTCCAGCTCAACCTGTAAAACACAAAGAAGGTCATATTGAAGGTCACTATGAAGGTCATATAGGGAGGACAATTGAACCTGGTGATGCCTTTCCTGAGGAGACATCCTAGGATGTACAGGGACTGCCCCCACAGCTGAGGCATCTTACCACCGGGTAAACGGTCCTGGCTGCCAGGGTTCTTGTATTCCAGCTCAACCTGTAAAACACAAAGAAGGTCATATTGAAGGTCACTATGAAGGTCATATAGGGAGGACAATTGAACCTGGTGAAGCCTTTCCTGAGGAGACATCCTAGGATGTACAGGGACTGCCCCCACAGCTGAGGCATCTTACCACCGGGTAAACGGCCCTGGCTGCCTGGGTTCTTGTATTTAAGCTCGACCTGTAAAAACATTGAGAAGGTCATATTGAAGGTCACTCTGAAGGTTACAATGAAGGTCATATAGGGAGGACAATTGAACCTGGTGAAGCCCTCCCTGATGAGACATCCCAGGATGTACAGAGACTGCCCCCACAGCTGAGGCATCTTACCACCGGGTAAACGGTCCTGGCTGCCAGGGTTCTTGTATTCCAGCTCAACCTGTAAAACATGGAGAAGGTCATATTGAAGGTCACATTGAAGTTTTTTATGAAGGTCATACAGAAAGAACAATTGTACCTGGTGAAGCCTTTCCTGTGGCTTTCAGCATCCAATCTATTATCAAATAATTTGCACATAATTACAAATTGGTTTGTAATGAAATTTGTTCACATACCATACCAGGATATAAGTAACGATTGACTAGATGACTACAAGAAAATACCTGGTCAAATCAATAATCAATCATATCAATATCCTCCTTGTAATTACAAATACATAAATAAGCAAATGGATCTGAATTACCTTATCAGCTGGTACATAGTAGAGTTCTGGCATGACCTTGGTGCCATTGGGGTTCCTTTGAATGAGTTCCTCAAGGGCTTCACTGTATTCATCCACCTGTTCTTTGCTGCCTCTAAAGATACCATCCAGGACAAGGTAAGTCCAGAACAGAGGCCACTCACACTCAATGTTCTCAAAGACCTTCAGTTCTGCAGGCTCGTAGTACAGTCTGTTCGGGTCCTGGGAAGACAAGTACGGTAGATAAAGAATTGTGAATTTGTATGAGAAGACATATAGGGCTCAGTCAGTAGTGATCTTGGAAAAAAAATATCGACACTCAATGGACTAATTCAGTACACTCTTGCCATAAGGGCAAGAATGAAACGCCTCAATTACCTTCTCCTACAGATACGGTAGGACTTGAATCTGTTAGTCTTTGGGATACTGACCAATTTGACTTCATAAAACCATGGCAATTATACCACCACCATCATCATCATCATTGTTTAAATCATCATCACCACCATCATAACTGGGACTTGATTAGAGTCACAAATACCTCCTAGACATCATCATCATTACAAAAATCACAAGTACCAAAACAACTGTTATCTCTGGAATTACCATTATTACAATCATAAGTTGGACTTGATCGGATCCATATCATTAACATATATTATCATTGCTTTTCTTTTTAAAAGTCTGTCTGCACTAGTTTGGCCAGGGGGAATTAGACCTCCCTGCAAGGTCACTGACAGGTGGTTATCTCATCAAATCAGCTCTCAATTAATATGAGAAAAAGGGGATCATCAGTCACTGATTAGGCATTGTTTGCTATATAGAGGGCACAAGTAGCTATAAGTAGTGCAGTGGGGCTTTAAAGTGGTGATCATCTTATCACCATTGCAATAACCTCACCCTACCTCTACTGAGAAACTCTAGCCTTCAACACTCAGCCATAACACAGCTAGAAAGAAATTACAAGTACTTTACCTCTTTAGCAGTTTGGTGTCCATCTCTGAGGAATCGCTTGCACCCATATCTCCCTTGGAGCTTGTCTAGGATCTGTTGTCTTGTCACGTTGATAATGGATTCATCATCCACTGCGAAGGCAGGGTAACCAATGACACTTAGCAACCCTGCATCTATCTCCTAAGATGTCAAGGCAAAGGAACGTTCAATCAATACATGGAAATGGTTCATGGACAAAGTATCTATTTGCAATGTAGAATTGTCACAAATTTGACTTGTTAATAGTTAAATGTGGTCACAAGACTGGGGCTTTGTTTAAACTTGCATTACCTCTACATGATCAGAGGTAACCATATTATTGGTCACATTTAGTTCAAAACCTGTCTCAACTTCAATGTGAAACACTTGTATCCTGATGATGCTCATGAACAAGCAATTTACATGGTCATTAGACAATATTTTTATAAGGGGACCTCAAATAAAAGCTTCTATAAAATTATTGTGATTTTTTTTTTAAATAACAGGACTATTCTAATGGGAATTTTCTTTACTTTCCTGCATCAAATGATTCAGCATAAAATCTGCTAAGGACATTAACTTTGTTGGAATACTTACAGTATCTAATCTTCCAAAGAATCATCCTGACACTATCCAACACTCAAATATATATATATGAAGATAGCACTAACCTTTGAACTTTATTCTCTAAGTAACATGGAGTGAAGGATGGCTTAACACTTTTAATAACAACACTATTCTTAAAATATTTTTCTAGACTTTTCTTCATGAATTATTTAGCATAATATCCTGAAAGTCTGATGGACATTAACTTTGTTTTCAAAGAATACAAGTCACGCCCATATGGCGCTTGGGAGACATGTTAGTGGAATGCTTACAGTGTCTTATCTTCAACAGAATCACCCTGACACTATCCAACCATTCAAATACAGTGAAACCTGTCTATAAAGACCACCCAAGGGAGATAAGAAAAGTGGTCTTTATAGGCAGGAGGTCTTTGTAGACATGTTTCAATGAGAAATCATTTTCAAGGGAAACGGAAAATGGGGTCTTTGTAGACAGGTGGTCACTTAACCAGGTTTGACTGTATTTATATGAAGAGATCACTGACCTTTGAACTTGACTCCCGAGGCAGCATGGAGTGAAGGATGGCTTGACATTGGGCTATCTTATCAGAGTGAACATGGATGACTGACTTCCTACCACCTCTAGCTCCAAACAGGTCTAAATCATTGATCGCCTCCATAGCACCCTGATATAACATAATAAGTACAGAGAATTGCGTTGAAAAGAGCCATACTAAAGTTTTTCGTCTGGAACTCATCATATCAAAATGCAAGAATGAAACAAAAAGCCAAAATCGAACAATGTAAACGTAAACTAAAAGGAACAAGGCATGAATATAACAAGCTCTGATTGGCTGTCTAAGGTAACAGTAAGTTAGACTTATTGCCAGCCAGTTATACCGGGATAATGGCTAAATTAATACGAGCGTCCAAACAAACTCTTTCTGTCTGCATGGAAGAATAAGATAAGTACATTAACTAATTTAATGAGGAATCACTTTTTGTTAAAGAAAATAAAGAGAACAAACAAATGATTACAAAACAAAGAGCAAAACAACAAAGAAAGGGGAAACATAACAAGTATAGACATTCATAAGATATGAGATGGTGGCTTTTACACATATATTATTAATGATTTACTAATAATAATCAATATAAGGGGCATTACTTCATCATAAAGTGATATAATAATCAATTATAATATTTGTAGTTCACTATCCAAAAGGATGCTCAAGGCATCTAAAGGGGCAAGTACTCTCTCAGGCATGAGCTACAAACTTAGAAATACAAGTGGGAAAGAGTGCAAACATTTGCTCTTTTTTGCTGTTATCATGAAATAAAAACACAGGCTTGTTTACATGTAGCTTGGATACTCTAAATGATTTGTTGCGCATGTTACAGACAAAAAATCTGAATGCAACAAAATCTTTTCAGTCAAAACATATCACGGGATGACCGAAATATATATATTTTTATATATTTATTTTTTCATAAACAAAGGAAGCCTTTAGGGCAAACACTTGTGTGTGATTGCAGATGCTTTCAATAATCAATTCTTAATAAAGTTAAAGAATGAATATATAGATGAATTTGAAGCTGCTTACAGTACCTTGGCCATTCCTATAGAGGTGGAGTTCAATTCTGGTTGACCATGATTGGTCTTGTCTCCTCTCTCCCATACACCATAATCCTACAGAGGAAGAATGGATGAAAGTTGAATGCATTACTATGTTTTCATTTTCGATGGTCTTATATTCTAGTGCTATATGAATGAGAATTGCATGAAATGTAAAGTTTCTAAAATCTAGTTATAAACTTACAATATTACTGGGTTTTTTTTTCTCTCATCAGTTTCATGTAATTAACAATCAACAATCCATGTGTACCACAAAGCTGTGTCATGTTCCTCTAAATGAGAATGAACTTGATAACTCATATTTCAAGTAATTCCAGCCCCTGCTTTATATGATATCAGTGTATGACCTAGTAACAATATCATTGTCAGAGATTTTTAGAAGAGATTGAAATACATGTGCCGCATATTTCATTGTAGTGATTAATTTTAAACTAAAAATTTCAGGAGCATATTACTGTTTGATATATTAGACTTCCTTCAGTTAAAACATAAATTCTTCAATAAATCAACTCACCGCTATCCTGTAAGCTTCTTCGATGTAAAAGACAAGGTTCTGGATAAATGCCACTTCATCTAATGTGAATACTATCTGCAAACCTATTTGTAAGTAAACATAAACATTTTTGAATAAAAAAAAAATTAAAAAAAAAAAAAAAAAATCAATATTACTGATGGCCCACTTTCAATCAATATGACAATAAGGCAATAATAAATAAAGCAATTGCTGTACATTAGCTTTATGAAAGGATCAGTAGAGGAAGAGACTTTCAACAATATTAAGATAATAATTTCATTATGCATGTCTAATAGACTTTCACCAGAGTAACCTTGGACCCAAAATGGTGGCCCAAAGGCAAGACAGGTCTCCAAGCTGACTTTTAAGTAAATGGCACATTTTACATTGTCTATAAAACATTGTACATTAAAAAAAGAACTGTCTCCTATTATTTGGATATTACAGTCATTTTCAGCTGAGTCTCTGTTAGTGTCTGTTAAGGTACATGTACAAGCGAAATATAAAACATATCTGACCCTGTCGTTTGTGAGATTAGAAGGAGATATGGCATAGAGTCTGGAGGTGTATGGAATTTCCTGAATATTATAGGGCCATTTTCTTTTGGTCCCCCCCCCCAGATTAGGTTTGACAACTGGACTACATATGACACATACCAGACACAGTCATTTGTGAGAGGAGCAGCAGGTAGAGAGACGTAGCATCAAGCTGAAGATGTCCCCATTCACTGTCGCTGACACACGTGTCACCTGTCTCACTGTCGTACTTGGCATGCAAGCAGTCTCCAGGGCTTTGGGTGAGTTTGAAGGATTCTACCTTGTCCACCTGTTTCATCATACTGGTTAGCAGGCCACGCATCAGCTTTACAACTCGCTGTTATTTGGAGAGAAGATACAATCTCTTTCTCATTATCACAAGCATATATATGTTTAGGGCTGACAGTCTACTATCTGGAAAATTGAAATATCATGACATAGAGAAAAGTTTGGAAATGTCCAAAAAAGTTTAATTTTTTCCTATAAATTTTCATTTTTAATGTGTTATAAAATGTATTTGATCACCGCACATATTGTACACAGCGTTCGTTGACGGCCTTATAAAGGAACTGCTAGAGAAGAACCCAGGATGCCCAATAGGTGGCCGTTTCTCCGGCTTTATTGTATTCGCTGATGATGTTACTCTCCTCAGCAACTCATCGGCAGAACTTCAACAGATGTTGGAGATCACCTTTGACTGCGTTAGACACTGGCATTACAAAATCAATTCTTCAAAAAGTGCAGTGATTGTAACCAGCAAGACAAAGCAACCTACAGGGTCAGCTTGGGTAGTAAATGGGTCAACCATTGAGGAGAAAGTCAGTCATCCGCATCTTGGTATCTTCAAATCCGGCTCACGGCACGACCCAACAGATAACATCATTGGAACTCCATACTTTCTATGCCCTCTCTGGTACAGGTGCATATACCGATGGTCTCATCCCTACACTTGTATCCAAACTGTGGAAAACCTTCTGCATCCCGAGAATGTTCCATGGCTCATCCATAATCATATTCACAAAATCAATGCTGTCGAAACTAGATAGGGCCCAATCACATCTTTTCAAACAGATATTAGGGGTGCCAAAGTCTGCTGCTGATGAGATTGTCTACCTGCTCACCAACCTCCTGCTAGTTTCCATGCAGAAAGACACTGGCAGGCTGTTGCTTCTAGGCCAACTCACCAAGCTTGACCCCAGCTATTTTGAGTTCAGAACATTTTTAGAAGCCCTCATAATGATTACACCCTCAATACTGGTCCTACAAGAGACAGTGAGGAAGTATGATCTTCCAGACCTCCATAGCCTCGTCTCGAACCCATCCCTGTTCTAAACCTGGAAACGGATGAATAACTACAAAGTCAACCTGGCGGCAAAACATCACACACTACAAGAAATCCGCTCTAAGTCCTCTCTCAAGTTCTGAATAGATAACACTCCACCCTCTGCAAATCTCCTATCTCCTTCCATCCAAAGAGCTTTTATAGTGAGATCCAAACTACTCACATCCACGTACTTGACACAATGCCGTCTCTTCAAGCAAAAAAACATCCCCTATCTGTACATGTCCACTTTGTTGGACTCTACTCCAATCTGGACCATCTCAGTCAAGAATTTATCAGCAAAGTCAAAGAATGCCTCATTGATTATCCCATCTGTTTAAACTTGTACCCCTGCTACTCTGTTACCCTTTCATCAATGCCTGCCTTCCAAAATTCATAATAGCCTTCTTCTACTATCCCTCTTTTTTCTATACAAAATTAATGCCTGTCATTGTAATGCTATCCAAAGCTCGTAACTGGTTCGATTTACACGTTTACTTTATTTGGACTCCAGGAATCTCCAAAATAGTGGAGGAATCAACTAAGAAATGTGAAGCTTTAATTACATCCATAACAAAAGTGAACAAAAAATGATGCAGTTGAATGCTGGAGGTCTACCTGTATACGTATTCTTTGGTGATACTAAAATATAATGCAACAATTAGTATATCTTCACTTTTCCCTACCTGGCGATTCGTTTAAGTCATACTTGACTCAAACCCCAAGTTTAAAGTTTGAATTCTTTCACTCATGTGAAATAGTTTCCTTCCCGAATGAATAAAAAGGGTTCAAAGTTGCCTTCCTGACATTCAAAACTCTCTTTCATGTATAAAGAATCTTGTTGCAATTACAGTAGAAACCTTATCACACTAATCCTTCTATCCATACCTGTTCCAGCTCGTAAGCTTTGGCCCTGTCTTCATCGAGGTCCGCCTGCTTGCGATAGGCCAAGGCCAGGCCCCAGACGGAGATGATGCTGTAGACATTATCCCTGACCCAGGCATGCTTTTGATCTGCAGTTGCTTGTAATAAACCAGATATAGGGTTCTACAGAGAATCAGAAGAGCGAAAAGGAGAAACAGAAATGTTTAGAAAATTAGCTGTATGATACTTTGGGTTTGGAAATTTATCTGTGAACATAAATAAAGGTTCTCCACAGTAAACAACAAATTGGTTAGTATGGTGCTGCTGTCTGCTGCATGCACAAAAAGTGGTAGTTAAATTTACTGGCCTGAGGAATGCAAACCTTCTGCCTGTTAACTGTAGAGACTGAAATCAACTACATGTAGCCAATTATTCTGTCAGCATTTACTCAGTAAATTATTTTAATATGTAACAATTATTAAAACATATCAGAGTGGTTCTGAAGGAATTAATTCCTATTGAAAATACATTTTAATGAGAAATTATTTTGTCCGTTCTATCTGTCTAGGAACACGTCAACCTAGATCTACATGTAATAAGTTTAAATTTTAAAAAGTCCTGCAACTCTGAGAGAGCCTATTAAAGTATTTTTGGGATAAACATTGATATTAATATACTTTTTCACAGGTTTCACTCCAAACCGCTGCACAACCTTTGAAAAAAGTGTATACTAATATCAATGTTTTTCCAAAAAATACTCCAAAAATAACAAGAAAAATAACAAAACAGGCGATAAACATAACGACTTTTAACTCACGATCTTTATTTGGACATTTAATGAATATTTACTTCATTTTGGGTATGTTTTAGTAGGGGATCTCCACACAAGGTTAGGGGTCAAATTTTTGAACGGTTTCTGAACAAGCACCGAACTTAGAAGGTCTAGATCTACTACACTACCTCTAAGTGTGTGCGGAGACTCTAGACCTACTCTAGTCTAGATCTAGATCTATGGACATTTTCTCTTTCTTTATAACTCATGAATATGGTCTATGGATATGTATTAGGGTGTCTGAACGATTTTTCAATTTTCAATTTGGGATCGTTTTTCACCATTTTTGTTTGATATTTGAATAAAAAATGTTATCAGAATAATACATTTCAAATTTCAAGTCTCACCGATGTTTCTATCAAAAGTTACAGCCCCTCCAACACGCTGGTATATTCATATCATTTTGGTCAAAATCGACGAAAAAGACGTCCACGCAGAGTGATGTTGTTTTGCTAAATTTAGCCAAACAGCTGTATCGCGCGATATGCAAGCGTATGCATATCGTACGCATGCTGCTAAGCCAATCCGCGACTTGCAGCTTGAGCTACGCTGTCTCCGCGACATGTGCGATTGACTAGTATGGTTGGCGTTCGTCGCACAATAAACCCGGAAGTGAATGCACGTTATAGTCAATGGCAATATCGCGGAGACAACGCACGTTGTCTCCGCGATATTGCCATTGACTATAACGTGTATTCACTTCCGGGTTTATCGAGGGAATTGCCAACCATAATTTCAGTCACTATAATGTGTAATTGAATTTGGGGTTTCGTTCGTGCGCGGAGATGTTACGCGATGTAACCATGGTTTGGACTGAGCGGAGCGCACGCCTCCTAATTAGCTGATCCACCAAATAGCGAGAAGGGTATTTTTAAACTGTTATCAGTTGTGATCCCTGGGGGCTAGCGAAAATATAATCACATAGAATTGTTCCTTAGGACTGGGACTACTTATCGATCGGGGCGTCATATCTCAAAAGTGACAAACCTCAGAGTTAGCCAGGACACAATGTTTAAATTGCTGTTTTGACCAAGATATTTTTAGAATTTCGGGGGCTACGCCCCTTTGGAAATATTGGAATTCACCTGCTCTTTCATATGACACCTCATTCATTGATCATCACCTTCAGGATCACAACTGATAAAGGTTTGAATCTCGATTTGAAAAAAAAAAATTGACTTTTTTTGCATGGTCGCGCAATGCACGTAGGCTGCATAGGGATGCGTGTAATCTCTATGGGAAGAATTTTAGCACACAACATCGGGTGCGCGATCAGACACCCTATATGTATACGACATCATCTGTTTAATTTAGTTGTTGTTACCCACTTGAGTACATTTGTAACATTGTGTTATGTTGTTAATAAATTCAAATTTAAATTCACATCCACATCCACTACACTATTCTGGTGGTGCAATAGCCAATAGCCAGCGGGCAATGGCATGGCATGGCAGCAGGCCAGGCACTGTATACTTCACGCGAGAAGGAAGGCCGACGCGAAGGCGAATTATAAATAACGTACGGTATACGGCCTACCTGATAAGCAAGAATTGTCTCTGAAACTAGACGATAGTAGTAATCTAGTCGAACTCCTGAATTACTTCTGCTCCTCATCCTGAAATATTCGACGTTCCGTTACCCGATTTCACTAAGACTCATGAGTATTTCTATTTTCTTCCGCAAAGTCTAGATCAAAAGGACACACTATTTTCATGTTTACATTTTCGCCATTCTTCGCCGGTAGAACATAGCTGCTTAATTTTAACACTGTTTACGATTTCAGGATCACTAATGATCACGAAGCAATCAGTGTATACTATAGTTGCAGCGACATTTTTGTTTTTAAGATTCTTCAGTCTTATTTCTTCCATTTCCAATATAACATGATAAGAAAAGATGTGATAAGATGACAAGATAAGATAACAAAATCGCAAGGTATGAAAAACGATGGAGTGAGTCGTTAGCGGCGAGGGGGCGGAGCGACCAAGCCGGGGGGGGGGGGGGGGGTGTAGGAGGGGGTCAGCAGAACCCACTCCCAGAGTAGGAAGCATTTGCGATATTAAAACCACATTAGGTGCATTTTCAGGCACCACTTCCTGGAGTGATATGACGTAAAATTGCTTTCTCCTACTCCCTCCTTGAACTTTGGGAACCACATTTGGCGTATTCATGGCCATGCACAGGCACTTCCTGGAACAAAATGAGGCCTTCTGATTGGTTAGAAGTTAGACAAAAGTGATCTGTCACGTCGCGAGACGTTGTATTATGCTTCGTTGCTGCACAATGCACAAGACGGTGGTCTGGTACTTCACCAGTACAGTAGTACTTGCAAAAATTGCTTCGAGTGTTTAAACTGTGTTGTTATCAGGATCGTCGATTGCTATACTTTTTTCAGTGGGAGGGGGGGGGGGGGGGGTGTGTAGAGGCCACCGATTACCGACACAACTAGCCACAATTACCGACAAATAATTAATATCAATGTCCAAATCAGTGGCGGATCCGGGGGGGGGGGGGGGGGCCCGGCCCGCCCCCCTCCCCTGGAGAAAAAAAAATCATGTAAAAACACGTGATTTTTAGCTTTTTGGGGGGGGATGCCCCCCCCCTGGCACTCAAGGGGGGGGGGGTGCAAATTTTCGAGGGCCAAAAAAAAAAAATGTGCTCACGAATGAGCTCGTGTGTATATCAGTTCCGAATATGACAATAATAACAATACACTCTTGAAAGTAGAAATTTTCGTTCACTGAATTTGTTGCGAAAGTCAGAAAACAAGTTGGGTAATTGTGTCCATTTCATTTGTATATTTCATCAATGGCTAAACATTTCATTACCTCTAGAATACATCAAATCAAAACTAAAGAAGAATCGAATGGTTATTTATTTCACACCTGTAATTAAATTCAAAATTGAATTCATGTTTAAAATCATTAAAAATCATTAAATTGGTCCTAACTAGAATTCGGCAGTAGAGGTCAGTGACAACAACACGAATACAACGCGGTCGGTCGAATACATATATATCTCTATGGTCGAATACCATACAACACGTGATATGCACCATGCGAATCGCACGTCGTGACAATCAAACTCAAACTGTGTTAATTAATCTATATTCTCTCTAATGGACACCTTTGTTTAGAGATCATATTCCTGATCATTACAGGATACCAACAAAATTGCTTTTATAAAGTTTGATAAATTCTCTGTGCTCCATAGAATACGCCGTGTCGGAGGCCTTGCTTTAGCAGACAACACAGCTAGCCGAACAACATCGCCGCGCGCCCCGATTGGAACTAGGAGGTTATTGTCCCCCGTTGCTACAGCCAGGCTGGAGCTGTGTGAGCTGTGTCTTCGTGTCGTCCGCGGTTGATTCGGTCATCTGATTCTGGAGGGTTGAGCTGGAGGAGCTTTGTCCATGTTGACTATATTACAACTGCAACTTCTTTGTATTTGATTGATCAAAATTAACTTGAATAGGGGGTCTAATTTAGGGTTTAAAAGGTATAGATAAAAACCCATAGATAAAAACCCATTTAGGTCTAGGGGTCTATGATGCAAATCTTGAATATCAAACTTAAAGCCCCACCGCATGCACTAGTTTGTCCTTGGGCTTGGCTAAGTTGGTGATAATGTTTTTATGATATTATCACCAAGGAGCGGCATAGCAAACGTTAAGGCCACTGTCCCATATTCGTTGGGTGCGGGAAGTGGTGAATTCAGACACATTTTAGGGTTTGTTTACCTGCCTTTTCGTGCACGTCTATGCCTATGGGAGCAAGTTGAGACTTGAGGCTTGGTGATATCAATATCATAAAAATATTATCACCAAGCCCTTAAAGGCTAAGTTTGACCAGGCCAGGAGGGATTAGACCTCCCTAAATGTTCACTGACAGGTAGTTATCTCATCAAATAAGCTCTCAATTAACATAAGAAATAAAAGAGGATCATGGGGGACAAATGGTCACTGATTAGCATTGTTTGCTATATAGAGGGCACAGGTCGCTATAAGTAGTGCAGTGGGGCTTTAAAGAAAACCCTCTGCATAGCTCTGATATTCTGTTTACTTTAGAAATAATTTTAGCTTTAATGACATTTTTTCTTTCTACAGCCGTAGTATAGCCTAGTAATTTAGTATGGCCTAGTCTATACTAAAGGCTTAAAATACTAGTTATAAATTTGTAATTGTTTGAAGAAGAGTAAATATTTTATTGCTAAATCTGAAAGGAGAAATTATATGTAGGATGCTGCAGGTTGAAATCTTAGTAGAATCCATACTCCAAAGGGAATCAGAAAATATGCAATTGACTCGTTATATTTATCATATTTGTGCCACTTCTTTTTTCTTTCCTTTTTTTTAATCATAGAGATAGACCTCTCATCTGATATCCATTCAAGAATGGAAATGGACACCAAGCCCACAGAAGATATGCTTAGAGATACTCTCTATCTCGAGCTCAGCGGGGATACCAGTCATGTGACGCTACCATCTCTCATCGTAATCTTCCTTCAGCAGTACTGCCACTATCATAACCTTGACGTGATTCTTGTGTGTGGAAGTGAACTAAATCAGGAGGCAAAAGATTCTTCAAAAGCTCCTCTAAAGTCTCATCTAGATCTGGGCCATGAAGGAGGAGTTGAGCACAAGGATACAAACATATCGACATCTGATGATAACCTTGATAGCAACTCTATTCGCAGTGATGATGTCGGGCTCAATCTTCTAGAAACACCAAAAAGCATTGAGTACAGAGTACTGAAACATGTCTGTCTCCCTCGTGTGGTGCAGGATTGTCAGCTTCCTTGCATATTGCTACCAGGAAGACAGCTCTGTGTTTCCGGTCTGGCGAACGTCTTAAGACACATAATCCAAGCAGCGGTACCTTTGGAGCCACATCGAAATTTAGAAACCCTTCTTGTAAGTGAAAGCTTGAAGGCTGCATCTTTAACCCTTATGCTGAAACCAAGCAAAATGTTATAGGAAGAAAGATTATAATGAATTCAACTACTCTCTTATCCAACTCATGTGAAATAGTACTTTTCACTCAAATTTCAAAATGTGCAAGAAAAATTCTGCAGTATTTATTAACAAGCACAATGTCAGAAAGTGTTAATGAAAATCAGAAAGAATTAAAGAGGGCATATGCTTGGAAACTGTAGAAACTGAAGTACTTGTGAAGTAGTTTTTAATCCATGTATTTTGCCTGTCTGATACCATTTTTATGATTATCTTATTTGCAGGGTTTCAGACAAACTTGCCTGAGATGCTGTTCAGAAACCAGCATCTGGACCAAGCTTTGTGAGGTGGACACCCCTCAAGAGGTCACCAACTTCCTCAAGAATCCTTCAGAAGTGTCCTCTTGTCCTCTATTTTTGAATAAGTTTCAAGAAATCTTGGCCCAGCCTGTGTCGACTCATAATTCTGAGAAATTGAGAAGAAAACTGTTGAAGAGCAAGCAGATGAGTGGTAACAGCATCCAAGGAAGAGGAGAGTCTAATGAAAAGAGGAAAACTGATGATGCTGGAAAACTGGATGAAAGAGAAAAAGGAAAAGATGAGAAAGGAAGTGGATCAGAAAACAGTAAGATGCAAAAGCCCTTAGATGATCCGGCTACATCGTGTGAAGGTAATAGTAAGGAGTTGACGTCTGAGTTCCAGTCCAAGATGAACTTGGGTAACAAGAAAGAAATTCGCAGGAGAAAAAGAGAACAGAATAGAGAGAATGCTGCAATAGACAAAGATCTTTCGAGAAATTATATAACTGTAGAAACGAAGGCAGGGCAAACATCAACTGATGTGCCTGATGGTGCTATTGACAGAGTTGAAACAAATGCAAGTGGTGAGATGTCTTCTCAACCTGAAGGTGAAAACCAGAGAAGGAGAAAAAAAACAAAGAATAAGAAGAAGATTCACAAGGACTCTCTGCCAGAGCTCACTCATCTATTTGCACATGGTGTTGATGTCACTCTTGCCGATTTTGCCTTGTTTATTCCCATCCACCTATGGTTACACACCTCCAGTCTGAATGGAACAGCCCACAGCGCTCCCAGGACTGTGCCTTTGGTCTTTGAGTGGTACCAGCGCATGTGGGATGTTCCAAGTGTGAGGCAGGTGGCATCAACCTGTCTAGGGTTGAGGGAAGTGGATATTACATCCCTCAAGGAAACATCTGGTCATTCTGGTGATGATGATGCAACTGTCGGAGAAAACTCCAAAGCTGACAGTTACCTATCGGAAGAAGATGTTCGACCTCACGTTGGGAGTCTGGGTGTCAGGTATGTTGTTTGTTCTGTTAGGCCAAAAACAGTGTGATTTTATCATTTTAACTACATGTATATGAACTGTGTCAAACACAAGATACAGATCAATTTCGGCATATATATATTCTGTTATTTTCAGTTTACTGACCACTTGAAATGTGATCCAGGCATACATTTAGCCATAACTTACATTTATGTCATAGCAACAGTTGAATGGTTTATTTTTCAGTGCCTTATATATTTTAAACAAATATAAAACTAAATGTAATGTATCCAGATAAACCAACAATATTATCAAACAAAATGGATTTTGTGAGCACCTATAGATTGAAGACTGGATATTAAGTCCTCCAATCAGTCGCAAATATAAATCTACTATCTCTGAAGTACACAGTTGCGATTTACGCAAACCAATAACTATACAGGGCCCAGAATATCACAATTAATTGTCCCAAGACGGACCACAAATTATAGATAAGAATCAGAGGAATAGAAATCTACAGTGTTCTTATATCCATCAAGTAAACTTCTGTTTGTATTGAAGAATTGGAAGATAATGTATTGGCCTTCTAGGAGCTAGTGGTAGATTTTCCAGGAGTGATTCGAGGCAAGTGAGTTCATTGATGTATTAAGATGCCAAGTATGCTCAAAACTCATTTGACTTTTGTGCTTCCTTTTTTTTTTCTCCTTCTAGTCGTGGTGTAGTGAGAGAGCGTCTGAAGAAGGTGTTACCGGATGTGATCCTGACGCTAGAGGATCAGGGATTGAGTGCAGGGTTCATGGATCACCCCTCTAAGGATACAACTCTGGATTGGAGGAACATGGATCCAGTTGTTAGCCCAATAGAAGGTAATAATAATAAGAATAATAGCTAGTTCTTATATTGCGCTTTTCAGGACCGAAGGCCCTCTTAAAGCGCTTTACAGATATATATTATTACCCCGGTAGCAAGGTTTTATTTGATAGATGGGATATGGATGGATAGGTAAATGGATGTATAAGTGAATGATGAATGGATGAAAGGAAGAAGACATCACCGGATTTGAGGAACATGGACCCAGTTAGTCCAATCGAGGGCGACAAGGTTTTATATATATGTGATTGATTGATTGACTGATCAAGAGATGGATGGGTAGATGATTGTTTGGATGGAGGGCTCGAAGTATATGTAATATACAGATGATATAATTAGGGATTGATGTCTGTACTCAAGGAACACTAGGTTAATGATTTCATTTCAAAACTGGATGTCCTAATTCAAAGGCTACTACTCAACTGTGCAGTACTGAATTTAGAATAGTTTCTCCAAGTGAAGGGGGCAGCAGTGCAGTGGTGAGAGCAGTGAATGAGGAACAGAAATATCAGTTGGTGTTTCAGTGCTCTCTGGGGAGGGTATCGATCTAGTCCACTGGATGACATTTTAAGCAGTGGGTATTCTAGATTTTGTGCTTGTTTTCTTAAAACTTTGTGAAAAAGAAACCAAACCCTATTTAGAACTTGAATAAGTTTGACGTGATATATTCACTACAGGTGAAGTTGAAGCCCGTCGAGCCAGAGGGAAAGAACAGCAGCTCGAAAGCATTGTTACAGTGGTCCAGCAAATAGCTCATCCAGGTTCCAGAATTCTTGACTTCTGCAGTGGTGGGGTACGTAATCATAGGCTTCTCACATAATGCATAGTAAGATATTTAAGTGGATATATTTTCTTTGTTTTCCTTATATACAGAGTTAAAGATAAAGTTGAGTTCTGGTCATGCAATTGCATTGTGAAAGAAACGGTGTGGAATCGATCAGAAAAGGTTCATCATCTAGCATATTAGTATTGGTGTGTACTGCAAGGTTCTGGAATCATCAAAATGATAAGAAATTTGGCCCAGTCTTGGTAAAAATACAAGCACTGTGCACAGAAGTATAAGGGACTACACAAACATGGGGCATAAAAATCTGTCCTGATTTTTATGATGTTACATGCCATATTTAGAATATTGGGGTATTTAAGGAGCCATGCTTTTTGGGGATTTTTTTTTATCTGATGTTCTTCCACACTTGCATTATAACAATGATAACGCTCACAAATTATTTTGCAGCTCTTCCAAGAACTCGACCTTCTCTTAAACCCCAGAAAACATTGTAGAGTTGTCAATGTTAATTTTGATACAAATAGTATTCCAAGATATGGAACTTTAAATGCAGTTCACAACCCATTCTGATCTTGTCAAGAGAGATGCAGGATTCGGTTAGTATTAGGTTAGGGTCATTCCATGTCAAATCACCCAAAAAATCTGAAAATCTTAACCCGACCATTTTTTATTTTGATGAAACTTAGTGTACTTGTTGAGTGTGATCTCACAGCACCAAATCCCAAATTTTAGGTCAATTGGGTGAGGGGCTTGGGAGATACGGCCCACCAAATTTTGAGATTTTTTCAAAAATGGGGGTGGCGGGCCTACCTTTGAACCCTTGTATCTTGGGACCTAATGGGTCAATCTTCACAAAATTTGTATTGTTGGAAAGGGTATTCAATAAGGATTCCAAATCTGCCGCCATTTTGAAAATTCGTACATGTTGGGGTACTTTGACCTCCTGACCTAAGATTTGACCTTGAAATTGACCTTGTGGATCACGTGACCTTGACAACATTTTTCATGAAATGTAATCTCTGACATGTTCACTAAAACATATAAAAGTTTCAGAGATATAATATTTTTGGTTTAGGAGCAATAAGGATTGAAAGTATTCATACTTACAGATATTCACAATAAACCCTATTATAATGTATACAACACATGCAATATGCACAGTACAACATACATCTTCCACATGCTTTTTTGTTCTAGTCATTTCCATTCTAAATGTCAGCAGTACTTAAATAGAAATAAAATGACAAGTTCATATAGGCCTAAAGGGTTAACAGGATGTATGGCTTTAGGCCTCTGAGTCTGTTCTAGGATAATTACCCCCCTGGAAAATTAACCCCCAGGAAATGTCCCCCCCCCCCCCCCCCGAGGACAATTACCCCCGAGGACTTTCACACCCAGAGGACAATTACCCCCCAGAAAATAACTTCCTAGGACAATTTGTCCCCCTCCCCAGGACAATTCCCCCCCGGAGAATTACCCCATCCCCCCCCCCCCTGGAAAATTACTCAAGGATAATTACCTCCCAAAAAAAAAATCTGCTTTGATTAAAACCAACTTATTATCAGGATAAACTTCCCCTTCAACTAATAGAGGGGGGGGGGGGTAGTTGTCCGGGGGGTAATTGTCCGAGGGTGTAATTGTCCGGGAGGTAATTGTCCTTGGAGGGGGGGGGGACAGATTGTCCTAAGAGGTAATTTTCTGGGGGGTAATTGTCCTCTGGGTGTGATAGTCCTCGGGGGGTAATTGTCCTGGGGGGGAACATTCCCAGGGGGGTAATTATCCTAGAACTGACTCAGAGGCCTAAAGCCATACATCCTGTTAACCCTTTAGGCCTATATGAACTTGTCATTTTATTTCTATTCAAGTACCGCTGACATTTAGAATGGATATGCCTAGAACAAAAAAGCATGTGGAAGATGTATGTTGTACTGTGCATATTGCATGTATTGTATACATTATAATAGGGTTTATTGTGAATATCTGTAAGTATGAATACTTTCAATCCTTATTGCTCCTAAACCAAAAATATTATATCTCTGAAACTTTTATATGTTTAAGTGAACATGTCAGAGATTACATTTCATGAAAAATGTTGTCAAGGTCACGTGATCCACAAGGTCAATTTCAAGGTCAAATCTTAGGTCAGGAGGTCAAAGTACCCCAACATGTACGAATTTTCAAAATGGCGGCAGATTTGGAATCCTTATTGAATACCCTTTCCAACAATACAAATTTTGTGAAGATTGACCCATTAGGTCCCGAGATACAAGGGTTCAAAGGTAGGCCCGCCACCCCCATTTTTGAAAAAATCTCAAAATTTGGTGGGCCGTATCTCCCAAACCCCTCACCCGATTGACCTAAAATTTGGGATTTGGTGCTGTGAGATCACACTCAACAAGTACACTAAGTTTCATCAAAATCAAAAATGGTCGGGTTAAAACCATTGGGTGATTTGACATGGAATGACCCGTTATTGATCATTTATGTTACTGTAAGTTTGATTAAGTTCTGATACATTTTAGCTCAGAATGAATTGATCTCTTAAAACCTGTAAATTTGAAAATCTAGAGATTATTTGTGAAACATAGAATAGCTCTGCTGAAGCTGGGTTAATAATGTGACTGCAGGGACCTCAAGGAAAGCAGCATAAGTACTGATGAAGCTACCCTGCTAATACAAGACATGGGGTGTGTTTCACAAAGATTACAGTCAAACTTAACTCTAAGTTGGACAAGTTAAACATTATGGAGAGCCATTTGTAGCCTTAAAATAAAACATATTCAAAAGCAAAAACTTAAGTATTTTAGACTTTTCATAAATTCCACATCAAGAAAATGAAATCTCCTTGATATCATAGAAAATATGAATGATTTGAATCAACATTTTATGCCTTTTAAAACAACTTTTACAAAATATTTTCAAAGACGTTAATGGCTTTCCATAATTGTTAAGTCCAACTTAGAGATAAGTTCAATTTAGGATCTTTGTGAAACACCCCCGTGATATTATTGGTTTAACAGTTTAATATTTTGTAGGTGGGCTATCTCTTCAATGAATCGTTTTGTCTTATTCTCTTCAGGGCCACCTTGGTATTGCTCTTGCCTACTGCCTACCAGGCTGTCATGTGATCATGATAGAAAACAAGGAAGAGTCATTGAAGCGAGCGCTTGGTCGCGTCCAAACCTTAGGACTTCAGAATGTCACCTTGTACCTGAGCAACATTGATTACTTCTATGGACAATTTGATATTGGGGTGAGTACAAACGTATTCATCATTGAGCAATGGTACATCATAATAATAATAATAACAATATTTAGATATATAGCATACATGCCAACTGTTCAGATTAAAGAGGAACATTCCTCTTTTTGGGAGAAGATAATTATCATTTTAATGCAGGTGTTCCTCTTCCTGTACAAATTTGTCTGTAGTATTGAATAGGAGAGTTAGGATTGTTCCTCTTTTTTTTGAAAATAGCATAATTTGTACAGATTTCTGATTTTCAAATGTTGGCATGTATGATATAGATATATATTTGCGCGGTGATGTTGTTCTTTGATATTTTGAAGACACTGTGGAATCTTTTCAACCTATGTAATGTAGTTCTTTCATAATGTAGTGTGTTGCAGTGTCCCTTGGGCTCACCTATGGCTCCATAGGTTGGTTGATAAATGGTTACCGGTAGCTAGTGATGACTGCCAGGTGATGGGGGGTTTTGTTTAGCATTAAAAGGGGAAAAAACTGTGTTTAGTTGAGTCGTAGATTGATTGCGATGTAGCTCTCAGACATGGACTTTGTATAATATAAGTGAGCTGGGGGGTGTTTCACAAAGATCCTAACTCGAACTTAACTCTAAGTTGGACTTAAACATTATGGAGAGCCATTTGTAGCCTTAAAATAAAATATATTCAAAAGCAAAAATTCAAATATTTTAAACTTTTCATAAATTCCACATCAAGAAAATGAAATCTCCTTGATAATAGAAAAATAGGAATGATTTGCATCAACATTTTATTTCTTTTAAATAATATTTATATAATATTTTCAAAGATGCTAACGGCTTTCCATAATTGTTAGGTCTAAAGATAAGTTCAACTTTAGATCTTTGTGAGAAAAAAAAGCCTTGATGTTATTTAACATGCAATTCTTCACTTCTCCCCCCCCCCCCCCCCCTTCCCAGGTATCTCTACATGCCTGTGGAGTAGCTACGGACATAGTTCTCAGTAAATGTGTGAAGCAGGGAGCCTCGTTTGTGAGCAGTCCCTGTTGCTATGGTTCATTACATAACACACATCACCTGACGTACCCACGAAGCCAGGTATTCAGGGAGAGCAGCATCTCCAAGAAGGTGAGAGAAAGAATGGGAGGATGAATAGTGGGGAAGAAGATGGGAGGGTGGAATGGTAGATGGATTGCCAAAATCTCTTGAAAGGAAACTGAAAGAAGAGTTAAGATGGAAAGATTGATGGATGAATGGATCAAAAGATGCATGGATCTAGTGATTGTCTGTGAACTGATGATAAGATGGATACATTTTAGTGGATAGATTGTAGCAACTACTCCGAAGATCAGGATACGTTAATCTTGATCTAAGGAGACACGAACGAACGAGTGGATAGATGGATGTAAGGAATTTTCACCATCTGTTAACCCATTACCAATGAGAAACTGGTGGCTCCTGTATTAAAGTCTATGGGAAAGAGAGAACTCGGTAGACAACGGATTAAATGGTAATGATGAATGAGGTAGATGGAAAGACAGGATAGGTCAAAGGATAACTGGCCTGGTAGATTTATGAATGAAATACAAAATTACTTGATTGCTGACTATCTGGTTGATGGATTTGATCAACCTGTCAGGCATGCTATTTTTGTATTCTTAGAAGGGTATCAATATCAGTCTTTTGCATTTTTGCTAAAACTAAGAAAAGTTATGAAATGATTGACATTCTACTTTTGTGCAACAAATAGTTTGATAGTATTGCCAAGTTATGTATCTACATTGATGTTGAAATTTCTCGTCTACTTCAGATAGATTTCTTCTTTTTTTTTCTTCCTTTTTCTTTGTTTATTGCTTTCTATATGCAAAAAGAATATCATGAAGATCTTTTAAGTTAAATGTGACTGAATATGATTTGTTTTCAGAACTATTTCTTGGTTGCTCATGCAGCTGATCAGACGTGTTGGGACTTTGACAGCAATCTTTCTAAGCAAGGTAAAGACTAGAGCTAATCCATACCTTTATCTAACTAACTATCCATTCAGGCTTGGGGTTAAAGGTCATGTCAGCCATATAGGTCACCAAACTTAGACAACTCTGTTGGAATAAGAAATAATTATATTTAGAAATATTCATGAGAACGTTTCAAGGACATTTAATGCTGATGATGTAGTTAGCTAAAATATGAAAATAATATCTCTTTGTAAATGTACATTACTTTTTGTTGATATTTCTCATAATTCTATAAGAATTTGTGACACATATTGTTTGATACTCCCTCTAACTCTTAAAGGTAAATTAGGTGCTTTCAATGGCTAGCAATTCTGTTTACACCCGTACCCTTCAGGGATTAAAGGAAGTAATAAGTTAGCAGTCAAAACCATTTCAGGTTAAACCCTGCTTGGTGTGAAACAAACATAGTAAGAGGGAAAATTAGGAGCAAATATGGGGATTCCCCTTTGATTCAGTTGTAAATAGAGAGATACATGTATATCATTTTAGAGGGATGTGAGTAATCAGACAGCCGAGCTCCCACTGGGCACACAGAGCAGAGGCATAAACATATTTGTTTTTATTTGTTTTTCTTTTTCTTCTTTTAAGTTCTGTCTTTTTCGAGTCTGGTTTTATGTTTAACATAAAAGTTTACATAACTGAGTCAGGTGTATGTCTTTTTCATTTTTATTGTAATGGATGCTTGTTGAATGCTTATTGTTTGTTGAATGATTAAAGATTCAATGGATTCAATTCTATATACAAAAGAAAATATTTTAATCTCATAAATTCTCCATCTTGATTGTGTTTCTGTTGATACAGGGAAGCGGTGCATGGGTTATATAGACAGAGACAGAGCTGAGTTAGCCAGAGAGTATGGCTATCATGTGACGATATGTTCATTGAAACCAGAGACCTGTTCACCCAAGAACAACCTCCTGATAGGGGTTTCCCCTCACAAACAGGGCATCAAAGCATGATAATCACACTCCTCTTCCTTTTAACTGTAATCTATCCAGAACCAATTTTTTATATTTTTTAAATGTTTTATTTAAATTATGTACAGTATTTTGTCTATGGCATGTAATGGGCTCCTAAAAGGATATTTCCGTCAACCTGTTTATAATCGGATTTATTCATTACATCATCATTAAAAGTTATATTGTAACTTAAAAACTTGAAATCTTTTTAATTTCATGTGAAAATCAAAGTGTATGGTCAATATTGTCAATTTAGTCTTTTGAAACCTTTGAACTCTGGAAAAAATTAGATTCCACATTTTGTCTCCAGTTTTAACTGATTGTGCAAGCAAATGCACTGTAGAAGGAGGAAAAGGGCCTTTATTTTGTCATAAATACAGTACCGGTAAGTTGATGGTTAACAGTTAAATGATTAAAATGAAATGATTACATTTATTGATTCATCTGTCATACAACAGATATTCTTATTCCATTGGTTAAACAATAACAAAGATCATGTCACAGCAGAATTATAGTACAACAAAGAAAAGTACAATGACAAATATACATTATTTGATCGCAAAACAGACAATATTACTAAAGGGGTTTTAAGGAAGTTACAAAACCAATGTGTGTCAGAAAAATGATACAGGAAAAAGGAAATTCATCTTATAAACCCATGTTATCATTAATTCCAAGTATTATATACCATATGAGAAATTGTTATTATTATAAGTGGATAGTTACCATGGCTACAAATTTGTTATGATGTTGATATTGGTTTCCCATGTTAGCAGAGTTAAAAATCATGTGGAGTGAATGTACATCTTTCCAGTGATTCTCTCAATAGAAGGTTGTCTAGAATTCTAGTGATAAAATTGCCAGAACTTTTGTCTATAATACAGTGTCATTACCAGAACTGAAGATTATGTATTAAGCACTATATAAAAGGGGAATATTATTATTATCATTAGTTGTAAGTGAACTAATTGACCTACTGATCAGCTTGTAATCCAATCCATTAATTCAATTCAATAGCTTTATTGACTTGTTCAGTTATTTGTGAAGTACCAAATATTGAATATAATTCTGTATGAAAGTTGGTTATTCAAGATATTATCCTATTTGTGATGTATATAGATTATAGATATGTTATTTCTTATTATGTTACTAGAGGAATAGTGCCTGTCCAGGAAAGTATCATTTTGGTCATTCCCATCAATGTGTCCTTTTTATATCATGGATTGGTCTATTACTCACATGGGTGTAATTCAGATTTTATTTGTTTTATTATTTAACATGATGCTTGAATGGTATATTACCAGTATTGTTTTATTAATTTTAGTATTTGTAAAGATGAGGCCTTCGTCTGGGAAGACTACTATGAAATTGAATGAAAATATTTTTAAGATGTGATGAACCTGCTAATAAAAAAAATTACAAATTTTGATTACATAAAACTGGAGAGGGTCAAGGTTGATGTCATTTTTATATATTATCAGGTATTTTTTATACATTTTCTCCTTTTTGGTGGGAATGGGGCTGCAGATAATATTTCAAAGGTTATGTCCTCCTTAGCCCAATGTGTTCATATCCATGTGTGTAACCATAATCTTGAATGAGTTAAGATCATGCTCAAGATACCCTTCAGTGCTAGCTTCACTGAGGTATCTTGTGTAATGCAGTGTGACGTTTTGAGGGTATCTTGACTAAAAAAAAAGGAACCTCTCCATGTTTCCTTTCTGGAGACATGTGAAATGAAGGTTTATTAACAATTCACCACTTCCTATGATAGCTGAAGTTGTCAGATTTTGTATTTAGAGGAGTGTTTAGATTCTGCTGGATTATACTTCATGTGTGTCCATAGCGGTATATGTTTTGCCAAGATGTGCTCCAAATTCTGCATTGTCATAGCAACAATTTCCCAGGAAAATCCCCCTCCTAGAACTCCCCCCCCCCCCCCTCCCCCCTGCAGCTGGTACATTATGTCATGTATGTTGTGTACATTGTGTGACTATATATGTACTTTACATGTACAATGACTGATTCATAAGTGCTGCAGAGTTTAAAAGTGCCTCGGATTGCCAAGTCTCCTTAAATAAAATGTCTGCTGATAATATCTTGAAAATTTGCAATATTCCTAGTCTGTTTGCTATTTATAAGTTTGGTTTTTACAGCCCAATGTTGGATTATTTTTGGACTGCAATGGGGTGACTCATAATGTAATGTGCGCTGTACCCACTGCTAAGATAGCTGCCTGTCTCATTGCGAATCAGTATCTTGCTTGCACAGTATCATAGCAGACTGATAGGGTTACATGTGTTTGTGAAGGAAGGGGTTACTTTGTATTGACACCAGGCGTAAATGGGGGCTGTGCACTGCATAGATAGAGATGGGTGCGAACGGGAAATGGTTTAGCAATGGGAATGTACCTTCATACTGCTGAGGCGATCTGCTCATGAGTCAGTCGGGTTATGTTGCTTTACATTCTTTTTCTGAGTTCTGGGAAGTAGAAAGTCTGATGAATGAGGTTACGGAGAGGTGATGTGAGAGAGAACTTCACGGTGGTATAAAAATAAAAGAAGGGAGAGTGTGTAATGGAAGATGAGCACAATAGATCAAGAGTAAAAGAAAGAGGAGCAGAATGAAAAGATTAAAGAATTTTCAAGAGGGTGGAGCGTTAGAGAAAGATAGGGTGAAACTAACGTTAAAGGAATGGAAAATAAACGAGGGAGAAGGATAAGAAGGAGATGATGGAGAGAACAAGAACGGGATTGGTGGATGGGAAATCGAGGGGGGGAGAACAGCTGATTACGTGAGAAAATAGACGGATGTAAGGTACAACAAGGGGGTACATTAACAGGAATGGGGGAACTGAAGAAGGGTATCTTCGATGATTCGACGTACTAGTTATTGTAGCTCAGAAGAAAGAAAATTCAAAGAAACATGACTAAGAGGGAACTAGATTGTTCATGGCTAACTCGTATCAAATGCCTGAAGTACTTTCACACGTGTACACAAATATAACGAGATATGATTACATCCGGGATACCATCGTAGGGTGAAAGTGATACTGTGTGTTGATTGTACTGGCAGATATCATATCAAAATTGTAATGTTTTAACAAAATTAAGAGATATCTTATGCAACCCAAAGAACAAATACATTATACAGTATGATTTACTTTGTTAAGTTGCTTTCGATCATTATAGCGTATAGATATATAATATATTAGCCATTTTTTCCCCCTTTTGTACAGGCTATTTGATTATTATCACATTGCTATTATTATTATTATTATTATTATTATTATTATTATTATTATTATTATTATTATTATTATTATTATTATTATTATTATTATTATTATTATTATTATTATTATTATTATTATCAGGCTTTCATCCATAAAACTTGTCATAACACACACTTATGAGAATCGGTTAAATTTATATCTTTCATGATGGCATTTTCATATTTGTATGTAGTGGAGACTTTTATGTTTGCTAGACCTCGGAATGACGCATCACCTTCTTCTCCCATCCGACCCATCAAAACAAATTACTTCGTATCCTGTTCTTTCTTTCTCTTTCTAATTGACGACGCTGTGATATGTTCTTGTCGACCGTACTTTCCACCCCTCACCCTCTCTCTCTCTCCTTCTTGCCGTAATACCTACAAATCCACGCATATTAATTAAACGCTGTAAACAAGTTGTAGGCTTTGTGTGCATTCCACATGATAAGTGAAGTCGAGTTGATGCTATTCTTTTTCACTTTTGATACAGTACTTATTATCTTCTGGCGGCACATCTTCCTCCAATCCCATTATTTGTTAGACCTAGTCTTCAACGCTTTCCTTCCTTCTCCGCTTCTCCTTTTCCTTCCCCTTCTCCTTCTCCGCTTCTCCTTCTCCTTCCCCTTCTCCTTCTCCGCTTCTCCTTCTCTTTCCCCTTCTCCTTCTCCGCTTCTCCTTCCGCTTCCCCTTCTCCTTCTCCGCTTCTCCTTCTCCTTCTCCTTCCCCTTCTCCTTCTCCGCTTCTCCTTCTCATTCCCCTTCTCCTTCTTCGCTTCTCCTTCCGCTTCCCCTTCTCCTTCTCCGCTTCTCCTTCTCCGCTTCCCCTTCTCCTTCTCCGCTTCTCCTTTAACTATCTCCTCAAATACTCTTTTTCATATTTTTTTCATCTTCTACTTCTTTGCACTAACTTTCAATATATTAATGACGGCTTATACCCTTGTATAAGTGATAGTTTTAACAAGATGACGGAGATCACTCCAGAGGTGCAACAAAGGATGCATTTGAATAGGAATAAGGAACATGACGTTCTTTCCAATCTGTGATTATTTACTGCCTTTCGGAAGGTCATGACCTAGAAATATGAATACTTAATTTTCTATTTCTCATTTCTTTACACCCATGCGCATCTTTTCTTTCATCCATCTTGATTATGGGACGTACCAATTTGGTGACGGGGAATTCTAATAACTGAATTTCCCGAAGTGGAAATTGTCAAAGCACCTTGGAAGCGGAACAAGGAGATAATTTGTTTGACTTCATAAGACCAGGAACTGGCGATTTAAAGTTTAAATGCCCTGAAGAACTTTGGGTGTATCCATCAACCATTCTTTCACCATCATAACAGCATGTAGGCCCACTAGAAGAAGAAAAACAGATTTTGTTGTTGTATAGTTGAGGTTAAGTGCCATGCCAAGTTGAATCCGGTTGTTGTCTTTTTAAGCAAGTATTAGATTCAGGAAAATTTTAATTTATGCTTGATGATCAATCCATTCTCTAATGCTAAATGAGAACTGGAAATATATGGACGCATATCAGCTTTAATTCAAATAATTAGGCAAAGGAAAATAGACCTTCCACATATTGAGATCGATTCCCCTTCTTGTATAATTTGAAGGTGCAGGGTGATGACAAATGTATATAAGAACAATCTACGGTGATTTATAATCAACAATGTTTTATTCGACAGCATCTTTACTCTTTACTATGAAATCAAATTCAAACTCCAAGAGGTTATACTTTGATCATGATGAGCTTTCAAAGTTGGGTATACTTTTTTTGATACACACTGTATAGTTTAAATATCAATGGACAAACCTAAACACAACTGCCGCGCAACTTGATTATGTTCTATTTATAATATTCTAGGTATTGAAGGGAACATGACTTCTGTTTTCAAACCTCGGAAACTGTTGATATCATAAAGAAAATTCATTGGAGGGGGTCAAAACCCGATCGATCTCGAAGCTAAGTTTGCCCATTATGAATATGAAGTGTAAGTGATATATTTCAAATACAGAATTTATAAACTTATATTAGGATTTTATTTCAATAAAGCCTTCATTTCAACATAATATTATTTAAATGGAATAAAATCGTATATTGACTAAATCAATTTTAATGAAATTTATATTATTTCAATATGACGGGGACATGTGATTTGTCGATATTTTGGTGAGACCCCCCCCCCCCCAACAAATTTTTTTTTTTTTTTTTTAATGGGAAAAAATGAGGAAAAAAAATTAAAAATTAAAAATTAAAAAAACGAAGGAAAAAAATGGTAAAAAAGGCAAAATTAAACAGAACAAAATCATAACAACCCCATAAAGAACAACTACAAGAATATGGTTTAGGAAGAAATGTCGCGATCCGCTATCTACCAGGTAAACATTTTGTTTACGCCCGTATTATAATATAAGTTCGACCAACATGTCTTGTGTACGGGGTCTTGAATATAACAAGGGATAGGGGGTTCTAACTAATTAACGAACCCCTGCAACTCAATGCTCCAAAGTAGTTAGCATGATCAAGGAGAAAGAGAAATTGAAATTGATGAGGGCATTGTTGTTTGTGTTCATTCATATTTCCTGAACAATATATCATGTCTAATTTGCCTACGACCCCTCCCTGTTCCGGGAATCAACTCATTAGCGATACCCCGACATTGGAGTTCGTAGTAAACGAAACAAATAGCCAAGCTTGGCTTGTAAACATGGAGAGGTGTAAATAGGAGCTGCTGCTAATAAATAATTTCCATGTGTCTTGTCCATGACATAAGACCTGCAAAGATGCACTTGTTACATCAAAGATATGCCCTTAATTCTAAAACTCTTACATTTTGCTCCTAGCATGATGACGATCATAGTTTTTTTTTTATATTTTTGACAACGTTTGGTTTTAAAGTGAACAGGTAACATTTGTTTAAGGTTGATTTTTTTTTAATTGAAAATAAAATTCAACGACATAACATATTGACAATAATATCATATAAATAAAGTAAATGGATGTATACAGAACACGGTATAACACAGGACAACACAACACAAAACAGTACAACACAAAGACAATGCCTCACTCTATAGTCAGTTAAGGCTCACCCTGACCAGGGACATGATTAAATTTTAAAAAAGTCACTTATGATATTCCTTATACTGTACTAAGCCTCTAACATGCATATTTATGGTTTTCTTTGAAGACGTCAATGTCCAACCGATTCTTGAATTTCCCAACCGTTGTTTCATAACAGAACAGGCTTTTAAAAATCTTTAACACTTTAATATTTGGAATTGTATATAGAGCCAATTCATTTCTTTGTGAAAATTGACATTCACCTAAAATTTTATTAAATATTATAATAATACAGTTGGGAGAATTTATCATTAATAATCTAGCATTGAAGTCAATACCTTACCACCATTTTCTCTCATCTGAACAATGTTTCCAAATCCTTAGACACGCTAACACGTTAGAAACAAGGGAAAGAAAGTAAATATATCAAGAAAAAGGGGGATGGCGTGCCCCTCAATTCATTAATGATGCATGAACATTACTAGAATTTGAATTTGGAACCTGTGCACATGCCCCTTATCTAAAATATTTCCAGGAAAAAATACATGCCAGTATAATAATGTTTGTCTGTTTGTTTGTTTTGTGGGGGTTCTCTCTTTCTTTCTTTTCCCCTCCACTGCTTTGATTTTGTTTCTTGCATTTAAAGATAAAGGTGAGTTCTGGTAATGCGATTGCATTGTGAAAGAGAAGGTGTAGAATGGATCAGAAAAAGTTGATCATATAGCATGTAAGTATTGGTGTGTACTGCAAGGTTCTGGGGTCATCAAAA